CTAGCTTTCGTTGGATACAGTCCGCGATGTAAGTCTGATACTAGCTGGAGGCCGATTATCTATCTAGTCAGTCTCTCCATTCATTTAAAGGTGCCTGCAAGAACCCCATATACCTGTGGAACGTCAAGTGAAAACAGACTCGATCGGCCCGGAGCAGGCACAGTCCCTTTCACCTTGACTGTCGTTTAGGTGTTGGAATGAGATGCAGTGCTTTGAACCTATGGAATCCTAATCTGTGCAGTTGGCTCTTTATGCAAAGCCGTTGGTTGGCACCTAGATCACCAAGATCATGCGATGCTGCACGAGTGGCGGGAGCCGCGCAATGTCCCTCCCTCGCTGATCGATGAGCCTCGTCACCTTTCGCAGGCAGCTGCCATTCCGGAACCACCGCTCTGATCGTCCCCTCGATTCCTGACAAAGGGATGACAATGCGATAGGCTCCGTTCCACCCACCGGTGGTACCTACTGCGGCTGAAGATGACCGATCCGCCTGCGTTCCCTAGGTACGCTTTTACTCTAATTTTTAAGCCCCCACATTGGGACGTACTCTGCCTCGTACAGTGCTCTTCAGGCCCTTCTTGGCTTGACTGCCTGTCTTCATGCAAGACATGTTAAAAATCTCGAGCCTACTTCTCGGCGTTCATTCAATCCCGGCTCGGCTCTTTCAACCCCGGGGCAACGGCTGAAGCATGGGAATTTTGTATTTCTTTGTCTAAATTTCTGTGTGGACCAGCCACAGATTGTGGGGGATAAAGTGGCTAGAAGCTTGAGCCCTCCGCTTTCGGGCATAGAGCACAGCCACCAACGCCGTTGACATGCGCCTCGTCCGAGTTTTAAGTGACTGCAGGTGCACTGTCACTATCGAAGTACAAGTATGTTTTCACCGGGTTGTGACCTTGGCATCTTCGGTGGGCTTTCACTGCACAGTCAACACTGGGGTGACGGCCTATTCATGACCTAAGTCGGCGGTCCTGGTCCGGCCAAAACTGGTAGGTGCTCAAGTCGCCCGAGTGATTGTCTTGGTGAGCCTCGAACCGCAAAGAAAGACCGAGCAAGTGCTGGAACCTTCTCCTGATTGGCTAGCGCCACAACACCCATATCCAACCACGCTCTCCTCTTGCATGCGTGCCTGCTGTGTATATGAAGACTCAACATTGTGGAAGAGACGACATCTCCCAGCAAAGTTCTTGCCTAGTACTCGTAATCTGAAACTCAAGTTTTTGAAAAATCATCGACATCTTTCGCCGGTATGGACAAAGGATTGAACTCATTACTGTCTTGGGGCATTGAAAACTCCGATGCAAGTCGCAACCCGGACCAGCCCATTCAAGAACCCAAAGGCCTGTCAGCAGAGGTACTTCGCTCCCTGATGGGAGGACCCAGTGATGCCGACCTTATGAAAGAAGCCATGGCAATCATCACCTCCTCCGATCCCGACATCACACATGACTCGAAAATGACCGCCTTCGACAACCTCGAGCAACTAGTCGAACAAATCGACAACGCCAACAACATGGAACCTCTCGGACTGTGGACGCCACTGCTGGATCAACTGAGCAGCGCCTCTGCAGACTTGCGACGGATGGCGGCCTGGTGTGTAGGCACGGCGGTCCAGAACAACGCCAAAGCACAAGAACGACTCTTGGCCCTCAACGGGATCGAAAAGCTAGTGCAGGTGTCACTTGACGATGCCGACAAAGCTACTCGGAAGAAGGCTGTCTACGCACTGAGCTCGGCAATCCGGAATTATCAGCCAGCCATGAACGAAGCAGTCAAGCGGTTACCCAAAGACATTGTCGGACCGGATCACGTCTCCGCCACGGATATGGACGTTATCGATGCGATTATGGGTAAATTGAGGGATGTTCAATGAATCGCAGCAGAAGGCAGGACCCCGAGAGCTCCACCAACCCCTGGCCCGTCTCTGGCAGGACGGACAGGCAAAGAGGCGAAACCTCCGCCGAATCAAACAGCGCGTCGGGTATCTTGGGGCAAAGTTGAGACCCTCACGATAGACCCGCGACGGAGCACGTTGCCTCCTTTGACACAGGTCAGACGACGCTGGCTGTCACACCACCTTTGAGCAGCATCGCGGCTCAGGCTGCCACCAAGGCGGCGAGTAGCTCATGGCGCCGTCAAGTTAGCGCCGATGGAATAGAAGAACCCACCACCGCCACTGGGGCTGCACTTCCGTGCATTCGTCTCCCCTTCAATCTAAGGACGGATTGGAATCGAAGATACAGCAGAGTAGACAGATTCCACAATGGAAAAGGAAGAATATTCTGCAATTGTCATAATAACAGTCTGTGAGACGAACGACCATTTTGCTTGCTGTAGCGCCAATGTCTTTGCTCCAAGTTCCATGCTTCAGAAGAGATGTACTGTGTACAGAGCATTATGGCTATATCTCTAGCCCACCCCTCATGCCTTGCGCCCGTCTCTTCGCGCCTCACAGCTGCAGATTGTAGGTGTAATCATCCTCCATATTCTGACTCACCCACAGCACGACCGAACTCAGCATCACCAAGCCATTGGCCACGACATTCGCAACCCCCATGTAGACGGTCTGCAAGGCATAATCCTTGAACAGATACTTGAGCACCATGACCGTGACACTGCCCGCCAATCCGCCGGCCATCAACGCAAAGCCCAGGAACAAGACGGTGCGAGCCTTCCAGGCGACTCCATTGCCGCTGTAGCTGAACGAGTCGGCCGACAGCCGCGACTTCTCGATGCTGTTGATGACGAGCATACCCAGCGCGGAGCAGATGAAGGGGATCCAGTCCACGAAGCTGATGTGCACGGTCGAGCCGTTGAGGGGGGACTTGGAGAAGACGCTTGCGTCGATGAAGAAGAAGAAGCCGAGCGAGAACTGGGTACACCGAGTGCAAACATTAGTCAGTGAGGGGGGCAGGAAGATTTCCTACGAAGAGAAGGGGATGTGGGAGGAGCGTACGAGTGCGCCGGCCATGTAAACGCCTGCGGTGCGGGTGTTTGCGCTGTTCAGCCATTGCGGCTTCGTGAAGCGGAACAGGCGCTGCGACGTGTCCATGATTGTGTGTCTCAGTACGGAGTAGTGTCAGGATATTTCAACTGTGGGTAGGCGTCTCGAGAGGTGGTGCAGCGGTGTCGTTAAAGATGTGAGAGATGGATGATGCACAATACAGTGCCTGCGCAACCTGGAAGTTGAAGGTGCAGTGAGCAGAACGCAGCCTGGGTTCAAGTGTCGCAAGGCCCGCCGGGTCGTGCCTCGTAATTGGAGGCTGGAGGCAGAACGTGACGAATCGGAAATGAATTCCGATAAGCTTGCATTTGAGCCTTGCAAACTCGTGGCTGGGGGCTTCGAAGCGTAGTGTGACCCTCACGTGTTAAAATCGTTCTCAACGGTCTACGGAGTAATATGGTTAATTCCGCATAGGACCATGATCGACCAGCTCAGCCCTGGCTGGAAGGGCTGTATGGCATCACCACATGCAGTCGAGGGCATGGACATAGATATGACTGGAAGACCCAGGTTGGTACCGACGCACCAACATGGAAGGGAAGGTCGATGAAATGCCCCGTAGTCAGTTGAGCCCTGCGACAGGAGTTCGAAAAGCGTTCTGAGCATTTCCCACTATACAGATATACTTGACTGCCCATTGCGCAAGCCGCATGCACCGCGGAGGCTTGCCAATAGTCCTTGTGCTGCGGAACTGTTCGTCCAAATTGCCCAGTATCTTCGCCAAAGCCAAAGCAATGCCACCACGCCCTGGTACACACACAACTAGTCGACGTCCTCGGCTTCATCACATCAGAAGTCCTGTTCCTCCTTAAAAAATTGGGTGAAGCTGATAATGGTCCCATAAATCAGAAGCCCACCAATGATTGACATGACCATTGCCGGCACTTGGATGAGCGCTGAATGTGCAAGGAGGACGGGCAGAGCTGTTTTTCGACGCTGGTCAGTATGTACCACCAACATCTTCTCCCGTAGACCGCCAACGTACCAATGCCCATAAGCACAAGGAACCCCGTAGCAAACCGGCCCAAATCTATCCATGCGCCCGAGTTACTCTCGATGAAGTCATCTGGGTTGGCGCATCTCGATGCGATCCAGTTTGGTACGGGCGCTAACACATAGGTAGCGACCACAAGGAGCGTGAGGAAGTTGTGGAATAATGCGGCGGAGAGGATGACGAGGAGGAATCCTATGGCAAGGATCTGAGTGCGTTAGCCTGATTTTGCGAAGCTACAAGCCTCTTGGATGCGCCGTACGAAAGAGAGAGCGATAATGGTCTTCAGTCCAGCCGTCGTCATGGCGAGGTCTGCCACAAGGCGAAGTGAGAGGTCGGTTGAGTGTCAAGGTGTACTCGGCGCCTGCGTATGTGCAGGGTCGTCGCCAGACAATCTATCGAAGGCGGGTGCGCAATTCGGTAATGATGTAGAGCGAGAGGGAGCCGAGTGGCGCGGGCTGACGTTGGGTATATCAACTGTCGGAGAATGAATTGATTACAAGGTCGGTTTGTCGTCGCTCGAGTGACAACGGCCAAGGTCAGGGCCAGGCAGGTGTAGTTGTGGCTGGGCTGGTGCGGCTCTGGACGAGCTCCGCGAATCGCGAAGAAGCGGCCTGCGGTTTGCGCGTCTGCCCATTGCCTGGCTTCAGTTATTTTATGCTGAAGCACCACCAACTCACGCTACACTACCTTTCCCTGGCTTCGACCTCTCTCAAGTAGAGCTGCTGAATACCTCTCAGGCAACATGTTCAGGAACAATTACGACAACGACTCTGTTACTTTGTAAGGTTCCTGTTTTGAGCATCTATGCCAGTGTCCTGAGTACTAAACCCATCTCCAGTTCACCTCAGGGCCGGATATTCCAGGTCGAATATGCTCAAGAGGCTGTCAAACAAGGCTCAGTAGTTGTTGGAGTTGTCAGCAAGAAACATGTTGTCCTCACGGCTCTCAAGGTTGGTCGACAGCGTCTCTGCCGATGGTTATACGGCCCATGCTCACCAACCCATGCAGAGAAACGCAGAAGAACTATCGTCCTACCAGAAAAAGATCGTCGGCGTTGATGATCACTTGGGAGTCGCCCTGGCTGGTCTCGCGTCCGACGCTCGCGTCCTGTCCAACTTCATGAAGCAACAGTCCCTCGCCTCCAAAATGACCTACGGTCGCCCCATACCCGTCGAGCGCATTGTCAACATGATAGGAGACCGGGCTCAGACAAACACGCAACACTACGGTAAGAGACCCTACGGTGTTGGACTGTTGGTTGCGGGCGTGGACGAGCTGGGGCCGCATCTGTTCGAGTTCTCCCCCTCTGGTATGACGCAGGAGATGCTGGCCTGTGCAATTGGTGCGAGAAGTCAAATGGCAAGGACGTACCTCGAGAGACATTTGGACAAGTTTGCCGACAGCAGTCGGGACGAACTGATCAAGCACGCTCTGCTTGCGCTGAAGGAGTCTCTTGCACAAGACAAGGAGTTGACGGTGGACAACACCAGTTTGGCGGTGATTGGCATCGGCGAGAAAGACGGCCGCAAGAAGTTCGAGGCCTTCAAACTCTACGACGGACAAGACATTGGACCTTTGCTGGAAGCCAACGTGGAGTCGACTACGGCAGAAGGCGATGCTATGGAGACAGACTCATAGGAACAGAGTCGACGGAAATGCATACCGCACGGCGTCTGGAGCAAACAGAGGACATGGACTGGCAGTCACAAACCCACCAGGGTGCTTTGACAGGAGGAACAGAGCGGACTCGGTCGAAAAGCTTCGTTTCCTGCTGACCTCTCGTTCACTTTCATGACCAGTCCATCTTGTACCTGCCAGGAGCTACTTGATACCCTCTCAATGCGTCTATCACCTCCTCGGTGCTCTTAACCTCAACCAAGATGTTTGCCGCGCCCTTGCCCACGAATCCTTCTCTGATGGCTGTTTTGATCCATTCCAGCAACCCGTTCCAGTACCCATTGATATTGACGAGAATGATTGGAACCTGGTGAATGCCTAGCTGATTCCAGGTGACCATCTCCATAACCTCCTCCATGGTGCCGTACCCGCCAGCCAACGCCACAAACCCCGATCCGGGACCACCCTGTTGCACCGAGTTCGCCATCATGCGCTTCCTGGTATGCATGTCCGGTACGATGGTCGTCCGTCCAAACTCGGACTCTGGCACAATTTGAGCATCGGGGTCTTCATTGCTGTCTATCCGTTGCAGCTCCTCTGATGACATGGTCCTCTCCGCCCTCTTCGGCCCTCCATTGCCCGTGCTGGTGTTGCCTCGTGCATTGGGGTCCTTCTCCGAGCGTATCAATGCCCGAGGAATGATCCCATGCACGGATCGGGGGCCGGACAGTGAGACCAGAGTGCGGGAGACTTCGCCCATGATGCCCATGGTACCGCCGCCGTAGACGAGTTGGTAGCCCGCTTCATGGAGAGACTTGGCGAGCTTGCGTGCTGATTCTAGATGGACAGGGTCTATTCCTGGTGAGGACGCACAGCTAGAGAAGATATCAGTGACTTTTTAGGACTTGAAATTGAGGCCGTGGTTCTCCACGTACAACACGCAGACCACTGGAACGGCCCCATTCTCCTGAGAAGCTGGCATCTTGCAGGGACTCCGTTGAAGACCAATAACTGAAATCTAGACAGCTTAGGGGATCGAGAATGCAACTTTTATATGTCGGTGTCCGAATTAGCCGTCACGCTGCCGGTCAGGGATCGCGCAGCCTTCACCAGTAACCTGAGGAGAAGCCAAAAACGAATGAAGTCTATACAGTTTATGTGGTGCAGAGGCAGTGGCACGCTGGTTGGGGCTCGAATATATCTGTTGGCAGTGAAGCACTGGCCTGGAAAGACTGTTCACCTGTCAAAGTGGTCAGCGGATTGGCCTGTGAGTCAACATGACGTTGCAGCACTGGGCCTCGCTGGTGCCACGTGAAGCGCCTGGAGAACCTGGTTCCTCATCGGAGCTCCCCGTCGTTGCATCGTTGAAACAGAGTACTTGTTCACGGAGGTTCAGCGGTGAGTCAAGCAAAAGTGAATGAATGAGGAAGAAGATGATTACATGTATCAGGTACAGAGGTACACTTCCGACAGTCCGAGAGCGATCATGGTGGGCTCCAGCCTGCACGGTCGCTGATGTCGATGATTGATGGTCGATGGATGTGGAGGGCAGTGGAGGGCAAAGGAGGGGTCAACGCAGCCATTCATTCATTCTTCATTCATGGTTCCGACGAGCCACACCTTCCTTTTCTACCCACCGGACTGGGGCCCATTCTTCTTTTTCCGCCCGCAACTTTGCTCTTCTCAGTGATCCTGTCGCACGGATGTAACTGATTGTTTCTTGATTACTGCTTATCTGGCAGAGCCTCACCAGCCTCCTCCTTTCCGGCCTCATCCATCCGAAGCCGAGACGTTCCTACGCATCCTCTCTGATCCGCACCAGCTTGCCGCAGCCCGTACAGAGCACGTTGCGCCCTCCATCTCCCAATGCGACCGGCTGACGAAGCACGTCCAGGGCGTGGTAGTCTCGCTAAACGTGCTCGTATCGATCCCTTCTTCACGAGTTCTCGCCTTTCCAGTCGCCGGAATAAAAGGTCAATGGGTCCGAAATGGCGCTGATGCGCAATCGTCACTGGCTATTTTGGCCTCATCGGGCTCTGCTGCCCTCGCATCACTGCCTCATTGGCTTCGACCATGACACTCTGCCGACAATTATGCTTGTTCCGCTTCCTTGCCGCAGTGCTGCCGCTAGGCATCTCTCGGCCATAAGCCGTGCTGTGACGGACCAACTCCAAACTCTCGCTTCCACCCCTCCGCCCTCGGAACTACACTGCCATTGCCCCAATGGAGTGGTATCTTGTGGTCAGAGCTGAAAAAAGAACCCCGCTTTCCCATGTAGGGCTTACCAGCTACATGTGCGCAGCTGCGGCCTGGCAGGCTTTCCATAGGTAAACCGTGCAGGTACAGACGCACACCTCCCAGATACCGGCTGTCGCTCGCAGGGTTGTAGCCGCTAGCTGTCCTGGCCAGGCTCAGCGGGAGCCGCGTCCGCTATGTTCAAGATCTCGCTGTCCCGCTCCTGCTGAACCTTTTTCTCTTCTTCCGCAGCCTCACCGTCGCCAGCTGACCCCGCCAGGGCGGACGGCCATATCACCATCGTTGTAGAGCACTGTGCGGCGCGCCATTGCTGGCATCTGTCGCCATGGCCAGCACCACTAGCGACACCACCAGTTCGCTGACCACTGTCGACTCTACCAGCAGCCCAACGACCTTGGTTACCAGTACCACCTCAGATACGTCGTCCACCACAACGACGACGAGTTCCTTGCCTCCTCCGACATCCAGCACCACTTCTGATCCGCCCAGCAGCAGCACTCCCACCTCGAGCTCTACCACATCTAGCACAACCAGTAAGTTGATCGTCGTCTGCTCTCTGCCTTTGATATTCCCACCACTTCAGCCTTGTCTACGAATGCGTCAGCCGTTTGCTGTTTGTAACGCGTTGCTCTGTGGCAGCTACCACAAGCTCGTCAACGACATCGTCATCATCCACACCTCCTCCAACGTCGTCAGATAGCTCCACTAGTTCTGCTTCGACGACCACATCCGAGAGCAGTACAACGACTTCAAGTATTTCTCCCTCCACATTGACCACCACCAGCACCATTCCAAGTGACCTTCCCTCGTCAACTACCACCCCGTTGTCCACTTCATCTAGCTTGTCGACGTCCACTCATAGCTCCCCTTCATCCACAGCTACCCCCTCTCCCTCTCCCACAACCTCCTCCTCCTCCTCCCCTCCACCCCCCACAATATCATCAACCACGCCTCCGCCGCCTACTAGCAGTACAACGACAAGGTCCACGACATTGAGCACCAGTACCAGTGAGTTCATGTTTACTATAGGTTCTGTCGTTTGCTCTGCCGTGTGTGCCATCTTGTTTGCCAGCAATATTTTCGCGTTAGACCGAATACTGACCTGGTTCCAGCGACTACGTCCTCTCCTCCGCCTCCACCCTCATCCTCGACGACCACCACATCGAGTCCGCCTCCACCTCCTGTCACAACGTCCTCAACCACGACTACCTCTAGCCCACCTCCACCGCCCACAACATCGTCATCCACGACTACCTCTAGCCCACCTCCACCGCCTCCCACAACATCGTCATCCACGACCACATCGGAGCCGCCACCCACTTCATCCGAGTCGAGTACCTCTAGTGCAACTCCGGTAGTGATCACGACCTCAACCTCCTCGGTCGTGTATGAAACAAGCACAGCGTTCGTCACCCAAACTCTCCCAGTGACCTCATCAGATGGTGTCGCCGGCTACACCACAATCACCTCAGTCGTCATCACCACGGAAGCAGCCACCACAATTGTCGAACCAGCAACCTTTACGAGCACTCCGGGTGCTCCGACGCTCGTTGCGGCTAACAGCGACAGCAGCAGTTCTTCGGGCTTGTCGACAGGTGCGAAAGCCGGCATAGGCGCCGGTGTCGGTGTCCTTGTTTTAGCCGCCGCAATCTTTGGAGGTTGGTACAGCTGGTTCATGCGACGCCGGAGGAAACGACAATCCTACTCGGCCAGCGATCGATACTCGGACAATCCTCTGGGCCCGGAAATGACTGGACTGGGCATCGGAGGCGGAGCAGCAGCAGGAATGGGTGCAATGGCCGCCGTATCGGGTTACCGCGATACCTCAAACCGCTCAGATAGACTCACAGACGTCACCCGCTCAGACCTCCCATCTCCACCGCTTCCATCCCCACCGCCTCGGTCTCCGGATCGTCTTCTACCACCTACTGCGGCAACAATCCGGAGCTGGGGCTCCACTTCTCCGCCTCCCCAGGGCTACCCAGGCCCTTCCAACATGTCCGTATCCGACCAGAGTGAATACTCGCAAGGAAACAACCAGTATGCGTCCCACTTCGGGAACCAGTATCCACAACAACAGCCGCCTGCTGGTGTAGCGGCAGCAGGGGGGGGCTACTTTCCTCCTCCCAACGAGTTACCCGACAATTCAAGAAACATCCATCAGCTACCCGATGACGTTCCGCCGCATCCCAATGACCGCTCGTTCCCCAACGACGATGTCATGTCCCACCAATCCTATCAACAAGCCAACATGGGCCACGATGGGTATTGGTCTGGACAACCGTCAGCGCCTTCGGCACCGTCAGCACCATCAGCGCCATCTGCGCCCTCGGCACAAGAGTCTTACGAATTACCCGGACAGAGTCCTCGGCCTGGGCCGGCGCAACCTGCCCAAGGACAAGGAGGATATCGCGGTGTGGATCCGGAAGTGCCGCTTCACCAGCGCATGGAAGGAAGAGTACCTTATCGGCCCGGTCATTTAGGGGCGTCACATAATTTCTGAAAGGCGGCGTTTGTATATAGTGCATGGCGGCATTGTGACGTGGAGATACGAAAACGTAATGTATTTTTTACTGTGCTATGAGAATATGAGTGGATGAGATGAAATATAAATCTATAATGGCGAGATCTCCAACGGCGTCCATGTGACTGAATGTGAGTCTAGTCGCCATATCGGCCGACTCCAACAAGAGCGACACTACACTTGGGGTGAGTGTGTAGGGGGCATCGTCCAGCGAGAGAAAACCCGTCGTCTACGCTGGGGCCACTCCACAGACTGCCTCACATCTGACAGCCTCGCTAACCGACAAGACGAACAGCAAAGACCCGAAGAACTGCATTTGAGGCCCCCAGCGGAATCACAGTGCCGAAAGCCTGTATCCATCATGTATGTCCTAGACACAACGTCCGCCTGAGCTCTGTTTCACGGCGTCCCGAGCCGTTGGCGTTCATCGACGCCCTCGCTTGATATAGTCAAGTTTGACCCCTTTTTTCTTCCAACAAACGATACGGGACCACGTGAGAGTCGAGACATCCTTTCCCCCCCGCGGAGCCGAGGACCGCTTGTTTAAGAAACGCCGTTTGGCATACATGGTACTCGTACGAGTCGTGATGCTTATTCTAGGGAGGGAGGGAGGGAGGGAGGGAGGGTCGGTACGGCCTCCAGCACCCGAGCCCGTCTCTTTCACCGTGCGGCTGTTCAGCGTTTGAGTGTGACGACCGCAGAGCCTGTCGACGGTGAAGAAACAATGACTTTGCAGGGAGTCGGTTTCGGCAACGGCGGATATGTGTGCGTGCGTGCGTGCGTAGGAACGGACGTGGGGATATTGGCGAGTGGCGTGCTGGTGTTTCATGGTGTTCGGTCGACGGTGAATTTCATCGTCGACACATGGCGGGGTCAAGAGATCAGTCGGGCTGCAGTATTCGTGCTCATATGCTCTGTGCTCGCATCTTGTTGGGTGCCTCGACGGGCGTCGAAGACGGACCAGTATACGTGTGCGCGCGGAGGGCATCGAAGAAAGTTCTCCTGCCAAAACTTGCGGAAATGCCTGCGGACAGAATCGAGCGAACTTACTGCGAGTCCAGCTAGAACTTTGCATATTGCCCGCGCATAATCCTCTCGTACCGTCACTGGGGCGATCAAGCGGCGCTGCCAGACCCCACCGTCGCCGAGAAGCGTCGTCGTCGTCGCGGTCGTCGGCATTGCTCGGCGTCACCCGTGACGATAGAACAACAAACGACGACAGAATATCTTGTCGAACTTCTTCTTCCTTCTTGCAAGACTCACCTTCGACGTTTCATCTTTGTCCTTCTCACAATCAGCAGGCGTGAGGCCTCGCAACCCTACCTTTGTTAATTGTCCGCTCATACCTCAATCACCATGCCACCGATCAAGGTGCCTCCCGGACGTGACGCCGACAGAGACACAGACGCAGACGCACCGAGATTGGAAATCGACGAGGAAGGTGTCGCCAGAGCCGTCTTCCCCAAGCAGACAAACAAGCGTCACTTTGTAACTGACAATGAGACTGCAAGACTGGCGACCGATGAGCATGGCGTTGCCCAAACTGAGAGTCCAAATTCGAACAAGAAGAAGTTCCATCTCGGTCCAATCCACCCTGCGATGACTGGGTTGCATCTGAGGGTGGGACGGCATCGAGAGTCGTATGCACGAACGAAGCTTGTTGAGCCTGCGAGCTCGGCCGAACCAGGCGAAGGTGAGCACCGAGTGTTTGCGCGTACAGCATGCGGATAGCTAACGATGTTCGTGTAGGCCCAACAGTTCTCGACAATGACGAGATGGTGGGAGAAGAGACCGAGGAGAACATTGTTCCACGCGTTGCGCCCGTTGCTGCACGGCAGATCGTCGACGTCGAAGCTGAAGGTACCGAAGAAGAGATGGTGGTGGCTGGTCGAGCGGCCGTTGCCTTGGGAATCGAGAACGCTCAAGAACCCGCGGTCGGTGCTGCAATCCTTAATGCCCCGGACCTTCCCCCAGTTTTCACACCTTGGGAGTTCACTGCTTCGCCTTGGCCGCCTGTCGACGAGATCGCCGACGAAGAGCTCGCGAGAAGGTATCCAGCTCTCCGAGGAAGCGAGATCCTCCACCTTCTAGCTCGCGGTGCAGCCAACCGTGATCCCGACCTTCCCCAACTTCTGGACCACGGGCCCGCTGAGATCCCTGTGATGACCGTCCATGAAAATGCTGAGGAGGCATTCGCCGGCTGGGTCTCCGTGCCTCAGGGACCAGGTGCTCTTCCGTTGATCATACCTTGGCGACCGATTGCTCTCCCTTTTCATCCTGCCTACCCAGGCTATGTTCAGCCCCAGCTCGGCCAGTTCGGCCAGTGGGAGCAGAGTCACCACGAACAATTCCTTGAAGAGCAGTATCGTCGAGAAGCACGAGCACAAGACAGAGAGAATATTCCTCTACTCCCACCAGTTGTCTTCATGCAGGTGGCCGACGCGCGCACTCGTGTCCGTTCCGGCTCCACGATCCTGACCATCAAGGGCGAGAAATTTGTCAGAGTAGACGATACTCACCTCCTGTACGCCGTCAACGCCGAGTACCTGCTAGGTGGTACCAACACGACAATTCGAAGATATCAATGTGGTGACTGGCCGTCGCACGTGCCCTCCGTTGCAAATGAACGCGCTGTCCGCCCCGCGGTCCTGTTCGAGCTCTACCCGACTGGCCAGTACGCATACACCGCCGAGAATGGTCGTCGTAAGCAAGCGCCTCAAGAATTCCGGCCCCAGTGTGACGTATTTGGCCGCGTTCTTCTCAACGCCCACGACCGACCCCTGAAGTTCTCGAAATCGATCCCGTACAAGGTGTCCACTGAGATCGAAGGCTGGGAGATGGAAGCGCTTTGTCGCCTCGATGCTGACCTCTGCAACCAAGACTTCCTCGACCGCATGCTTCCGAACACGGTTGTAGGTGGGAGTGGGAGAGGCAGAGGCAGACCTAGCAGGGGTACATTGAACAATCGTCGTCGGCGAGACCGCATGAGATTGCGCATTCTCCCATGGCCTGTGCCGCACGATCTCAGCTACTCAGACCAGCGGCTCATCAAAGAGCTCGATAACTGGGAAATCCAGGAGAATAGCACCATGCGCCTGAGGGACTTGATGAAGGATGAAATCCACATGCACGAGGCCATCATGTACGGTGGACATTTTGAGCGCTCGGGAACCCATCATGCATTGCATGACCAGGCAAGATTGGAGCAGCTCTGGGTCAACTTGAGGCTGGTGAGGACGAAGTTTGCCGAGGATAGCGACGAGGTCCAGCTGGTGAAGGATCGAGTCGTCCGATTGCTGCAGAAGATGGGCAGAGAGGATGATGCGGCAATCTGGGACGTTGGTACGCAGTCGTGAGCGACATATCTGAGCTGTGGTGAGAGGCACCCAGAGATGGGACTTGGATGGCTGCTTGGAGGCGCCATAGCCAACGTGTCCTGCATGATGGCGGTTGTTGCAGCTGAGCCCCGATGTGCTTAGTCATTCTTTGGGAAGGACCCACTACGCGCCCGACGATCCGGAATAGGCTTTGCTCGGGCTTTGGTCCATGCCCGTCACATTAAATTTAGGCAACAACTGCGGATACTCCGGCTCCCCACGAGTCTGACTGCACGCCGTTTCGTGCGCAGTCGACAACATCATCATAGCTGAATGCTATGCTGTCGTTGCCCCATAGGAGGGTGGCACGATCCTCTGTTCGCTGTTCCTCGTCTAACTTGAGATCACTCCCTCTCTTCCTCGAACAACTTCCTGTCGTTTCCTGGGGGCACTCTGCAAAGTGACCGAGTCAATGGCAGCGCTGGTCCTGCCTGCCTACGTTCCCTCCTCTGACTGCTGACGAAGCTCGTATGACCACTTCAAGAACCTAGCATTGCTCATCTCTCATCTCGAAGCCACACACCATGGCGACCCATCACGGGACCGTCAGAAAGCGCAATCCCGAGTCATCGGCCAAGGTCGAATCGGGCGGCCTGGGCGTGGCCGGAGATGACGATGTACTACCACACCCAGCGGGAGAAGTCAAGTACAGCGGCGCCAGCCAAGTCATTCGTGCGCTCCTGCTTGCGACATGGTTCAACTGTGGGGCAGTCTGCATCAATGCCACCCAATTCCTTGGTGCACCGCTGTATTGGATCAACAAGGACTACTACTATGCGTACATGGCTTTGACGAAGCAGTCGTTTGCTATCATGGGCATTGCAGGAACCAGGTGGTTCGCACCTACAAAAGTCCGCGTGAGTTGGGACAAAGAACTGCGAGGGCAATTTCGCAAGACATCGGCAGGGAGACTTGAGACAATGTTTCCGGAGCGGCTGGTTTACGTTGCCAACCACCAGGTGTACACCGAGTGGCTGTACCTCTGGTGGATCGCGTACACGAGCAGGATGCACGGACACATCTTCATCATTCTCAAAGAGTCACTCAAGTATGTGCCGATCTTGGGCCCGGGCATGATGTTCTATGGCTTCATCTTCATGGCCCGCAAGTGGCTGTCCGACAAGCCGCGCCTGGAGCACCGGCTGAACAAACTCAAGACCCGCCACAAGGGCCCGATGTCTGGCTCGGACGGGCTGGACCCCATGTGGCTGCTGATCTTTCCCGAGGGCACGAACCTGTCCGCAAACATGAGGACGGGAAGTGCCAAGTGGGCCGAAAAGCAGGGGATACCCGACATGAAACACCAGCTTCTTCCGCGAAGCACCGGTCTCTTCTTCATTCTCCAGCAACTGCAGGGCACTGTTGACTGGGTGTATGACTGCACCATTGCGTATGAAGGGACGCCGTGAGTTGAACTCAAGTGAGAGACTCCACCCACAAAGACTGACCAATTCACCAGGAAAGGAGGATTCGCCCCGGAGATCTTCACCATCCGCTCAACCTATTTACAGGGTCGCCCACCAAAGAGCGTGAACATGTATTGGCGTCGCTTTTCCGTGTCTTCCATCCCTCTCGCCGACGGCAAGGAGTTTGAGAAGTGGTTGATCGAGCGATGGCGCGAGAAGGATGAAATCCTCGAGCAGTGGTACAACACTGGCCGATTTCCATCCGACGCCGAGTCGGCGGACCCCAAGAGTGGTATTTCCAAGGACGGCTTCATCGAGACCGAGATGACGCTTAACAACTGGATGGAAATTGGTCAGCTCTACGTGGTGTTGGCTACCCTTGCTTTGGTCATCAACGTGGTGCTCAAGTTTTTCGGGCTGTTTTCGAAATTAGGATGAGACGACTACATGATACCCACGGGGGTGTTAGGGAGGGCACGGGCGGTCCTTGTGAGCCACGCACGTACTGGATATTATGTCAGGTTAGAATAAATCAAGACAAGACTTCGCGGTCCATAACGCAATGCTTTGATGAAGACATGGCGACCTATCTACAGTATCTACCGACCTACAGTAGTATGAAACCGGGCTCTGAACCAACGAGTTATACATGCTATAACCAAAGGGTTGTCAAGAAGACACCGAGCAAGTCCTGCCGTTCTTGTCCTTGATTGAAGAAGCAAGGATCTCGGAAACCGCATACACACAAGCACTACCCCTCCGAGTTTGAAACCTCTCAGTCACAGGGAGGAATGCCCAGCGCGGGAAGTCCGCACCCACCTAGGATCATCGATTCCCCGAGTCCGTCGGCCTTTTTCATGTCGAAAGCGTGGTGTTGCTTTCGTGTGCTGGGAGTGGAGGTTTAATTTAACTAGGTGTGGCTACACACAGGCACGTACTGTATATTATCTATTTAGTTACTATGCTCCGTACATGATGGCTTGGTTCACCAATGCCGCTATATCTCATATACATCATGAGAGTGCATACATGAGCGTGAGTGAAGTCAACACGAGTTCTCTCTCCACTCCCAGCTGAGTTGTAGAGATCGCGAGGATACCAAGTATCAGCACGCCGTGAGATCTTGCGATTCTCACAGTCTCTGAACCTCGTATTATACCTCTCTTGATTCTCCGACCTTGCCACCTCTGCCGCCAGCCTCGAGTATATACATACGTGTACTGTATACACGTATTTGTCGACCACGATGGCGCCACCGATAGCCAAACCTCCAATTGCAACGTGCTTCAGAGGTCCCGTGCAGGTCCTCGCGGTGGGACTACCTCAGTGCGCCACGACAACCTTGAAAGATGTGTTTGAGAGTCCTCACTTTCTTAACATCGATCCGACCATGCACATGGGTCGTCTGTCTCCCGTTGCCGCCGAACTTGCGCTTCATCTGGGAGGCTTTGCAGGAACGAGACGCGCAGAAGCGCCGCGCCATCTTGTATAAGCTCTTCGCCGGGTGTGCCGCGACTGCAGACTTTCCGCGCCACCTGGTCCTGGAGGACCTTATCGAGATGTACCCTGACGCCAGGATTGTGTTGAACGTTCACAAAGGCGGTGGTGTTGATGGTGGTGGTGGTGCCGGCGAAGAATGGTCCGCCAGCGTAAAGGCGAGGATCGCGCCGTTCATGAGTTGGCAGTATCGCGTTGCTGGTTTCTGGAGTGTACCTGACCAGTGGCACCGTTTGTGTCTGGTGCAATGGCAACGCTTTGTTAGGGAGAAGTTCCGTGTCGAAACCGTCTGGAGTAAGGACTTGTATGACATGCACAACCAGTGGGTGCTTGATGTTTGTCGAAGGAGGGGGAAAGACGTGCTGGTTTGGGATTCGAGTATGGGCTGGGCTCCGTTGTGCGATTTTCTGGGCAGGAAGGAGCCGGAAGTCGGTATCCCCATGACGGACACCGAGCAAGAAGAGATAAAAGGTGTAGTACAAAGGAGAATGCGCGTCGGGTTGAAGCTGTGGATGAGGAAAGTTGTCGTACCGATGGCAATCTCTGTCCTTGGTGGTTGGGCAATCGAGAGGGCGCTTAGTCTGCGGCTACCTGTGTGAGAAGGACGAGGAGAATAGGGGCCTTGTCGTAGATTTCGTCTGGTCGATGTTGGCTCGCAGCGGTTTGCGACGCTGTTGGTAAGACAGGGTCCATGCTCAACGGGTTGCAGGGTTGATCATCAGTCCACCTTCCCACCACAAGCACAGATAGTTTTCGGTACTGAGATTTCCGACATCTTCACTGATTTCATGGTTATTATGTCCTCCGACTCACGACTGTCGGACCATCAAACCCGGTATCAAAGCGCTCGCGTACATCACCGCTGTTATAGGCATCAGCTCCGCCATACGTCCCTGCATCTGCTCGGTCGGCGTCGGTACCAAACCAGCGTCCTCCCACTGTCTGCAAATCTGATCCGGCAGATTTCTTATCTCGGCATCAACAAGCTCATCCTCGCGGCACAGTCCACCGCCATCGCTCTTTCCCCTGACTACAGACCTGACTCCTAAAGCGGTCCCAAACTCCCGGAACGCGAGCCGTCGCTTTGTCGAGCCTTCGAAATGTCTGCTCTCGGTAAGACGTTTCAAACACGCGAGCGCTCGACGACTAAGCTGCACTGCCCATTCTTCTTCAGGAACGAGCCAATGCGCAGTCCACAATGTCATGCCCAGATCGAGTGTGTCCGTTGAGTCGTAGCTGTCGACTTTCGTATCCACGATTTTCTTCAGCAGCGCAATCTCCTCTTTCAAGACTTCCGACTCCGCACTATGTGTGGCCTGAAGGAGCTTGTATGTGACATAGCCATCGATGGGATCGAGGTTTCCTTCCGACAAGACCAACCGGCTAGAGAGATCAGTGCTCAACTTCCAGAACATGCGCGGCCGTGCTGCGTCGCGGTTCGTCATGAATTTTGGCAAAACCGCTGCTGCCATGGAAATGGCTTGCTCATTATACCACTTCTCGCCCGTGACGAAGGTGAACCGGTTCAGCGCGAACATCCACACAGTCAAGTAGTGAAAATACTGCCCATCGCCGTCCGGACCGGATTCGTCGTGCTTGCCGATCCGCAGTCCGCCTTTGAGGGGTGCGTCGTCGGTGGCCCCGGGGAGACGTGAAGTTCCGTCTCGAGTATACCCGAGGATGTTGTGCACCGCGGTGATCAGATTGCGGGCGAATGTGAGATAGGGGGTTTCGTGGGTAAGATTGTAGAGCGTCAGAAAGTTCACCACCGCGAAGCCGTCGGTCCAGAGGTAGCGGCCGCGGTGGCCTTCTGCTGCGGGAGGAGGAGTCCAGGCATCGAGGTGTGGGTCTGTTGAGGAGGGCAGGGGTCCGTAGATTAAGGCCATAGCTTCGAGGAAATTGGGGACTTTGTCGGTGCTGTCCTGGGAGGCCATGGCTGCTAGGTGGACGCTAGGATGGCGTGACAGGGCAGATGCGTGTTGCTTGAATGGAACGTCAGACTGGCTAGAAGGGAACTTACTGAGGTGGCTTCTGGAGCGAGAAGGAGGACCAGAGCAGTACCTGCGTGCTGGATATATTGGTCTCAAGCGAGCATTTGGCGTTGCACCATCACGGCTGGTGATACTGTGAAACGACGGACATAGGACTCTTCGTCGTGCAGTGATATGGCACGTTATCTTCATCAGCCTCGTTCGACAGCCAGACGAGTTATCGTTCAGTTCACGATATCAAGGGCATTTTAGATTGTGGAGAAACTGTGCGTTCATGATCTGCAAGTCTCATGTCACATGCAAGTGGTGTGGAAGACAATTGCTGTGTTGTTGGAGTTCTGTTTATGCGTCTACGTCACCAGACAGCGCGGGTGGTGCGGGTCAATTTCTCGGGACCGGAACTTGAATTATCCGGATCGGCCGAAGCAGGTGATCGGACGAGAAGAGAGCAGACCCTTGCACTGGTCGCGGTGCCCCTCATTGCGACCACGGCAGGTCTCGGACGGCGTACTGGTAATTGCAGCTGGTGCGAGGTACCCCTCATTCCATGATTGCTTCATCGAACTTTCACTGCAGCGAATGCTCTGTGAGCCAGCTGGCGATTGTCCCCGTTAACTCCACTGGCCGACTGATTACTTCTCGATTCTTCGTTAAAAAGGCCTTTCTCCTTGCTTCCATCTCACCCCTTGTACTCTTCCCGCTGTACATCTTGTAATATCAACGTCCCAGTATAATCAGATTTCAATCCGTCAAAATGGTCAAAGCAGGTGAGTTCGACGTCTCTCCCCATGTACCTTTCCAGCTCCGATCACCCCGGAACACGTCAACCACGTTTGTCAGCATCATGACGACCGCAGCTCGGGGCAAGACAACTCGTCAATGTCACTCGAGACCGTCGAGGACACTCGCCGAAGCAGCATTCATATCACGAACTGTCCACTAACCTCACTCTACCCAGTCGCCGTCCTCCGAGGAGACTCCAAAGTCACCGGGAATGTGACCTTCGAGCAAAGCTCCGAGTCCTCCCCCACCACCGTCACCTGGGACATCTCAGGTCATGACCCCAATGCCGAGCGAGGCATGCACATCCACCAATTCGGTGACAACACCAACGGCTGCACAAGCGCAGGCCCCCACTGTATGTCGGCGATGGCCGTCCCAAACGGATGATCGAGCAAAGAGCTGACAAGACTGCCCCAGACAATCCACACGGCAAGACGCACGGCGCCCCATCCGACTCTGAACGCCACGTCGGCGATCTGGGCAACTTCAAGACCGACGCCCAGGGCAACTCCAAGGGCAGCGTCAGCGACAGCTTCATCAAGCTGATCGGCGAGCACAGCGTTTTGGGCGTATGTTGTCCCCGTCTTACCACCCATTGTCCCCCGTTTCCCTGTCCACGTCGTGTGTAAGCATGACTAAGTGACTGACACTGACCGCGTGTGCAGCGAACCATCGTCGTCCACGCCGGCACCGACGACCTCGGCAAGGGCGGCAACGAGGAGAGCAAGAAGACCGGAAACGCCGGGCCTCGCCCCGCCTGCGGTGTCATCGGCATCGCCGCATAAATACACTGTTTCACCCGTCAGCAGACACTGGGGTATGTCGTGCCGCCACCCAGTCACCCGAAGCCAAGCAGTCGAGAACCTGACAACGTGGGTAACTCTCGTCCGAGTCCGATCTGGAATGAAGGGGCCAGCAATTGAAAAAGGCTGCGATGTGAACCGGCATGTACTGCTTTCAAGTCTGTTGAGATAAAGCTGGGGGGGAAATGGTTGAATAAAGGCTCTCTTCTTGCTATTTCCACCTGTAAGCAGCAAAAGACGAAGCGACCTACCTCGCCGTAGATAGCAAAAAAGCCAACACGTACAAAAGTCAAAACATATTCTTACGGACTATGTTCCTCCCAAGGCCCGAGCAACAGCTTTCTTATATAGCAAGACGTCTGATTGTAAGCCGTGTCCAGAGTTTTTAAGGTCCTCACTTTTCCGCCAGAAGGGGGCCAAGGTACCCAGACCACCAGACAAATCAGAAATACTTTCTTTTACACAGCAGGATGCGGTGGCATGATCAAGGATCGACGACCTTGAGTCATGAGTCTCGGGAGGAAGGGCGCCTCAATCGATCACTGTAACAGATACACAGGACTTCGTTGCTTACTTGCGTGCGCAGTGCACACGTACTCGTACTCCTACCAGCCTGATATCGATGGGTATTTTGACCTTTCACAAAAACACGGGCGCAATGCTCCTCCCAAACACGTCCACGAATACACACGCATATTACGGTACAGGGACAAAGCTCGTTCCATGCCTCCCTTGTCGAGAAATGCTTTCCAAATAACCCCAGAGCGACGAAATCACACACACACACTCTCTCTCTCTCCACGCCTTTGGTCAACTTGAGCCACAACCGCCCCGTGATTCTAATCATCCTTATCCCCGTGTGTCCTGATTGACGTACCTCGTACGGCTCTGGCCAGAAGGCCAGATCGAAAACAAAGCACAGATCGTCAGTCACAATCACAATTCACATCTGCCATGACGTGATCCATATGGCAAACCATGATCCCTCTCCACCTAGGGTTTTCGTCGCAGTCGCAGTCACAGTCACAGTCACGTCGGTCTTGCCTCGCACAGAGAGTCCGACTGCATTATGCTCAAACTTCCTGAGCGGTGACGAACCTCTCCATTCCAGGCCTTTGCGGCCCGCCCTCTTTCTGATGTGGATCGTCCGTCATGTTCAGTTTCTCGGTTTCAATGGCCAGACCTTTGCTCAGATCGCTCGCCACAACGACCTCGGCGTGTCCTTCGCCCGGTGCTGTGGCGTGTCCGTTCGCGTGCCCATTGGCCGTCGGAGGAATTATCGACACGGACTCATCGGCGAGATTGTTCTCGATGGCCGAAGTTAGTGCGACCGTGTATTCCGGGATGGGGCCCGGTTGCGGCTGTGACGGAGGATGAGCATATGTCGCCGAGGAGATTAGCTGGGAGGCCTGTGCATCTGAAGTTGAGCCGGTCGACGGTTCCGGCTGAGATTCTGTCGACTGAGGCTGCGGTATTACTTGTGCGGGCTGTTCTGAATTCGACTTGGTTGCAAGGATATTGGCGGCGGTCGCTCCGTCCTTCGCCTCCGCTGCGTGTTCCTCGGCGGCGTGATGTGCTGGTGCTGTCCCATTAGAAACCTGTGTCTTTGAGACAATCGACAACTTCTTGTCCGGATGGACTGGAGTTTCCGTGTAATCGGCCGCATATACGACGGGTTTCATCTTCTCAATGTCTGCAGCCGGCCGCCGCGGCTTTCCATTCTCCGAGCCGACGGCGACTCGCTTCCCGTCGAGCCACAGACATGGACCACGAACCCAACCTTTGTTTCCGTCCCGTTCCAGAGCCGCTCGAGTCTCGTCGTCCAAGTGTGGCTGATCACCCCAATCCCAGCCTAGTTCGCCGCCGTATCGTTTGGGGAAGTCCTTGGGATCCATGAATTTCGACAATGTCGGTTTGACCTCGTTTTTGCCGAGGATGAATATTTTGGACACGGTGACGGGATCGAACCACCGTTTGATCCAGCCCCAGACGGTGGGAAAGAATGACGGTGCGCCAATGATCTGAGTCCGGGTTAGCGTGTATGTAAGACTGGGGCCTTCGAAGGGGTTCTCACAAATATCCTATCCAGAGTTTCGGGGTAATGGGCCGTCGCCAGCACCGATGCATCTTGCATGTGGTTCTTCAGATTCCAGAACTGCGTCAAGCCCACCCCCGAGATATCAACAATGTTTGTGGAGTTCGTGACGGGGACTTCGGGGTTCGGCCGCTCGAGGGTCGACACGAACGGTAGGACGAAATTGAGGAGATTCTGATAGAGTGCGAACAGGGGAAGAAGTTTGGCCGGCGTCTGCAGTTTCTTGTGGTTGGGAAGGCTGTCCTTGTATGTCTGCGACTCTTTCTGGTACTTGTTCACGTGCTTGCTGTCGAGTTGCTTGATCACGTAGACGTAGATGGGAATTCCTCGTCTGTCGCGGTGTCCAGTCCATTGAGGGTACTGCGTGTCGTGTCAGACTGTGATTCCAAGCGCACGTTCATCTTCTGCTTACCACTTGCCGCGACCGTTCGTATATCTCGACGTCAAAGTTGTCATATAGCTCGTCAACCATTTGCTCCTTGAGCCATTGTTCCGTATCCGTGAATTGGCCGATTGCGCCCTGCACGTCGAACTTGCGGGCTCGCAGATACCGGCTAGGAAACACATGTTAGTGGCATGCTTCCATTGCTCGTAGCAAGATCAGTCGTACAGCAGTGTGCCGTCATCGTGGGAAGGTTTGCCATTGACTCCGGCCGGTGACCACCATCCTCCCTGTTGTAGCTTTTCCTTGAACTCCTCTAGTTTCTGCTCCTGAGGGGCAGTCAAATGGTTCAGTGTGCCGGTCAGCGGATCGGTGGTCGTCGTCCGTGTCAAGGTTGGGTGTGCCTGTGAGCCGACGGTGTGATCTGAATGATGCGACTTTTGCGATTGACCGGTGAGGGTTCTGTAGAGAGCGCTCATCGCGAATCAAAGGCCGGTCGACAAATCAGGATGGAAGGACGGGTAGAACTTCGGCGGCAGCAGCGGTCCCGGAGTCGAGGGAATGCCAATATGCAGTGGGACGGCTGTTCAGAAGTGACAAGAGATGTAATTGACAAGATCCAGAGATCGGAGAGCATTGACCGCAGTAGAGTGTACCAGCGCGACGGGACAGGTCTGGTATCAGGCGCGCCGAAACGATTATACTCGAAGACTAGCACCGACTCCAGAGCATTTCCCGCCAGAATTACGTGGTTAGCGAGCCGAACGGGCTGGCCGGAACCTCAGCACGCAGATGTCAAAAGTGCCCAAAGCCCTCTGGCAAGTGGGAAGACAGGGGGAGACTGTTCGATGATGCTGAGATCTGATTGAACTGGAAGCACCAGAAGCGGCCTCCGCTGATATCATCCTCCCCAAACCTTCATCACCATGGTGCCACGCTTGCACGGCATTTGCTGCCTTGCCAACCACCCCTACGAGTACGAGTACCACCGTCGTGGTTGGTCCTCGGGTAGCTGCATTCGTACCCGCATTTGTGTCGTGAGCAATGAATGGGGATGTACATGGTCCTCGTGCCGGAGACTCGGAAAGCGAAGCACAAATGGCGCCGAGGTGCGAGATGCCAAACCCACACTCCGGCCGAGAACGTGAATCGTGCACATGGCCGTGGGTTCCCACCGCTATTTTGGAGCTGGAGCTGGAGCTGGTCACCAAATAAATTACCCAGTGACACCAGTGAGGCAGCTCGTCCGCGGCATTTTCTGGCCGGCTCAAGGGACATAGGAGCCTCTCGGTCCTCCATTCCTGATGACATTATCAGGCATTACGAGAAAATGACAAAGAATGTCTCATGAATCGGCCAGATGGCGGTCAGGTTTGCCGCCTGTTTAGCAGTCTCCCGGGGAGAGATTGTCGATGGCCAAAAATAGCCAAGGTACAATATACGGTGTGCTCGAGTACACAGGATCAGATCTTCCTTCCCGCCTGTTACCGGCTGCAATATGCTAGATCTGCAGGATTCTGAGCGCGCCACATATCAACAAAGTGCCATTTCCTGTGACTCGGCCACGTACGTTGGGGCAGCCTTCTGACTGGCGGTGTCCACAATATGCGAGTGCGTCGTATGCCCGTCAGCTGAAGTCATGCCCGAGCATGGATCGGGCAAGCGGTAGAGTGAGCAGAGCACATGTCCCGAAGCTAGTCTACTTGCATGCCTTCGAAGCTAGCAGACAAGGCTGGCCGTTGCTCGGGTCGAGATATATCATACGTCGGCATGCAGCCTGCTCAACCTCCGCAGTCGCGAGCGAGCAATAAGACCAGTACCACCGCTTGGGCGCTTGAGGACCAGCACGTCTCAGATGCGACAAACCCGTCCTGAGCCGTTTCGAGGGATCGGCGACGGGTGCTGGTCCGGACGAAGAGTGGCGGTCAACATCCCGCCCCATGGCAATGGACATTGAGCATTCTGCCGCACCACCCTTCACTCACCACAAATTCTTCGTTGGTTAATTGCGCTTTCCAAATATCTGCCAACAATCTGGACGAAGCCATCCGCTTCTTGACCAAGGGTGCAGAAATGAGACCAACGGTTTCACAGTTAATGGGTGCTTTGAAGGATGGATTGTCGTGTACTTGCCTCGCGCGAGAAAAACCACTCCCGCATGAGAAAGGCTTCGCTTACCTCTAACCCATCTACTCATGGAAACAACATGACAGATGGCTTAAGGGCAGAGTCTTTGTTGCTTCAAGCCTTATTGTAGGCTCCCAATTTTCTGGATTTCGATGTTGCAACCATGCACCATGACCTACCATTCCTAGAGGCTGAAATAACAGAGCAATCCACCGGCCTGGTACGTATCTACAACTTTGAACGTCCCTGCGCAATCTGCACCACCTACCATATGGGCGTTAAATAAGAGACGTAAAATGCACCATGCCCAACGACATATGTCGAGGCATCTCCAAGCCCAAAACTCGTATCACCGATATAATACTTGGAATGCGACAAGCCCGGATGTAGGGAGAATTACGCAGTATTACCGCCTATAGGGAGAAGCCACTGGACGGGAGAACTTATGGTTACTGTAGCATCGTAGGCGCAGCCTCGGGACATGGACGACAAGACATATGATAGTCAAGTTGAACACGAGCTGTGCCCTGTGCTCCGTACGAGTACATAGTACTCCATCCTGCCACTCCTGCATTAAATATCTCGGATGGTATCCTGGCGAAGCACAACGCAAGAAGTGCAGAAGCACAAATATACGGCAGAGCACTCTCCCACTTAGCGAATCCAGTACCTCCAACATCATCCATCCATCCATCCAACCTACTGCGCCTTCACTTCAAGCTCCAGCCACCTCACTGAGCTCATCAACTCCTCCAGTCCCTCCTTACAGGGGAGCTACAGAGATAGGACGACCTCGCCACACCCACTCGGTCCCCTCCCACATCTGCCACAATGGCCGGCGCACCCTCAGGAAAACCCGTCTGGAAAGGGAACCACCCGGTCGGCCAGATCAACGCCGCCCCCCGGTTATACAGAGTCGCAGCAACAGGATTGGGAGCCGCCATGTGGTTTTTCGTAAGTTCAGACGAGCAAACTGTCTGAGGGGCAGAGCGGACGGCCCAAGCTAACGGGCACGTATAGCTCTTTTACCGGATGAAGCAGGACGGCCCCGCGCTCTTGGGCTGGAAGCATCCTTGGGACCATTGAGCCGGCGGGCAAACTGCAAGCTGCAAACTTGCACGGAAGCTGAGGCGGAGAAGACCCCCGTGAGCAGGAGATCAGACAGAGACGGAGATGGAGATCGCGGAAACCAAATCCAGGGCCGGACACAAGACAGAATGAGAGGTTTTCGAAGGCGGCACATGTTCGTCGACAAGCGCATGGCAAAACAGCGTGGACCACCACGGACCACCAATTGTACGTACATACGTACATACATACATACATGGCATTCGGCCACACGGGGCATTTGCCCGGGGTGTTCGAGGGAGCTGTGCTTGCGACGTCAAGAATCGCACATCAATGCTGAGCGAACAGAACAAACAGACCGCAAATACACAACTTCGCTCGACACACACACCAAAGTGCTATTGTCACCTGCGGTCAGGAAAAGGGAGGATCCCTAAGATCCCTTCTCTTGATCTTCTCGCGGCGAACCCGCAATCCCATCAGACCACAACATCAGCTTCTGTACTTTTGGACCGGCGGATCACATAGCAAGTGCGGTGAGCCTGGAAGTCTGCCGCCTGATCTGGCATTTCAACTAAACTTGCCCGCTTCCCCTTCCCCTTGTTTCGTCACCCCCTTAGCTCTTCCCTCCCAAAAGATATTGGTAGCTTTTCCCTCTCAAGAAGATATCGGTAGATGACTTGAAAGTTGCACCGCCTCGGTATAACATCCCTTCAGCACGGGACTTAGTGAACGTGGTGATGCGATCCCATGGAACCCCTTCCGCAAGCTCGACGTCGACAATGCCGGTCGACAAATGACCATAGCGGTTGGTTTCAGACGTTGGTAAATAGGCAGCTGCACTTGGACGTGTACTGCTGTATCTACGCTTGACAATACAAGCCCTCGTTTGGCGTGAAGGGATGTTGATATTCCGGGTTGCAACCCGAGGAGACAAGCTATGCCAGGGATATATACACATGGCGACTCAAGCACGCCGTGTGTCTGCTGCCCAAATCCTTCTATTTGGCAAGCTAAAAGGGTCTATCTACTCATCTGTATCTCTTCGGCTATGATTTTGTACTGCTTCCTCTTCTTCGGATGGGCAGGGCGGAGTTTCGACTTGACCCGCCCAATGAATTTCGCCAGTAACGGGAAGAAGTGGCGCTCTGTCAGATATGCAACCGCAAATCCGGCCACCGCCAGTGCAAGTAAGAAGAGGTCGTAGTCGGTAGACATCTCAGTCAGGTCCATAAACCGCATCAACCACTTGGCTGGGTCAAGAAGCATGTACAAGGAAATGAGCAGCGCTGCCACGATCGTAACGCAGAAGGGGACATTCGTCGCCATCGATTGCCGAAACGGTGGTCCTATGCTTAGGACGACGCTGGACAGTGTGTACTGGAAACAGGTGACCAGGAAGAGAGCTGTGTTTTGAGAGTTATCGACGCTGGACTTTTGTCTGTCGACTCGTGGCGGTATGTACCAAGGCTGGGTCTGGACCGTTTCGTAGGCTACCAGCTGTACAAGCAGCTGGAGCACGATCTGACCAAGTAGCGGAGTCAGGACCTTCCTGGAGACAAGACTCGCCGTCGGGCGTTTCTTGCTCAAGACCGGATAAGCGCCTGTCCACCCCATAAAGATGGCCAGGGGTAGGATCAAAGCAAGGTCGATGAATAAGAACTGGAAATCTCCGAGGTTGGATGCCGAAGCGTAGAGAAAGCTGACCGAGGTGAACTGGATTGCAGAGTACAAGCTCATGTACTTGAAGCAGCAAAAGCTCGTGACCAGGGCTGCGCGGCCTTCTTTGATCAGCGCGGGAACACAGGAGATATCGAATATATGGCTGGTAAATGGTGCAGCGACAGACGCTTCCGCCTCAGATAGGGAGACGCCGACGTCTGCAGCCTTCAGTGCACCGCAATCGTTGGCACCGTCGCCACAAAACCCGCAGCAGTAATCGATGCTTTGCAACTTCTCGACCAGCTCGTGCTTCTCGTCAGGGGACATCCGTGCGAAGACGGCGCCTTTGACTAGCATCCTCTGCAAGATCTCGCTGGAGCCAAAGTCGATGACCCAGCGGAATGCGTCTCCTGTAACAGCCAGAGTGTACTCGCCGATAGCGAGCGCATCATACGGAGCAGAAGTGTCGTCCTCGGCAGAAAGCGGCATTGGGAGCAAGTTGTTTTCGTCGAGCTGATAGATCTGGTTGTCCACGCTCTCCCAGGTGAGTCGTGCTTTTGGATCCATCTTGTCGCCTTCAACAAAATGGGGTACGAAGCAATGTGCATTGCGGTCGATGACGCCACATTCTCTTGCCACGCTGATAGCTGTGAGAATGTTGTCCCCCGTACACATGACGTTGCGGATATTAGCTTCATTCAGCTCCTCGATGATCTCGGTGGTGATCTCCTTCAGCTTGTTCTCGAAGATGATGAAGCCGATGAGTGAAAGGCGAGATTCGGCGTCGGATCTGTCCATGTTCTGGATATCATCCCAGCTCAACCTCGAGACATATTTCGAGGCACACGCAATGACACGGAAGCCTTTGTGGGTGTAGTAGCTGAGCAGATCCTCAAAATCGTCGGGAATGCTAGACGGGGTACAGATGTCTTTCATGACCTCGGGAGCACCCTTTACGTAGATGTTGGCACCAGGATCACCTTGCTGGCGGACAATGACGCTGGCACGTCTCAGATGCGACACAAATTCGAAGGAGCGTAAAATCCCGAGCTCAACTCGGATTGGGTTGTCGTTGTCCTGCGACTCGTCCAGGTCGTACTCGAGACCCTGGGGAGGGCGAGCGACGCTTGGTGCAGGCTGAACTGTTCCTGGTTCAACGAAATGGCTTGTGTTGCGCGAGCCTTCCTCGAATGACCACTCAGTGAATTGGAACATTTTGAAGTCAAGTGGGTCGCCAATTAGCTCCTCGTCGACGAGTCGGAGCGAATGACAAGTTGCCATGGTGTATAGCATGTTCCTGTTGACCCGATAGTCGATCGTTGGGTCGCGGTCGTACAGAGCCGGTGGAAGAAGCTCGCGTGCTTCCTCTAGGATGTCACCAAACCGAATCTCTGGATGTTGCACAAGGCGTACGCCGAGCACATCCAGGCCGTCCTCAGTCAGCGTTCCTGTCTTATCGAAACAAACCACATCGAGCTTCCCCGCGACGTTGACTCTTTGGGGGCTAATACAAAAGATTTGTTGCTTCCTCAGCCTTGATAGTGCGAAATTGGTGCCGATAGTCAGGGTTGCGGGGAGAGCTGGGGGAACTACGATGGTGATGAGATCCAAGGCTCTTACGATGATGAGATGCCATGCCAGACCGAGCTTGACAAAGTTGATGAAGGAGGCGACAAACCCAATTGCGGCGATGAAACCCATGACCGAAATGTATCGGAAGGAATCGCGGTAGAACTTGAAACCCGAAGGTTTGGGAAAGAGCATGGATCTGACCAATGCACCCTTGGTCGTGTTAAAGCCAGTGCGGACAACCATGGCGAGGGCGACGGCTTCGTCATCATCGGTATCCTGCGGTCTTCGAGCACGAATGATCTTCGTCCCGCAGAACAGGAAATACCGAGCTACACTTGGATGAATCGATGTGGCCCCCAGATCGACATAGGGAAGCGCCTCGTCGGTGATAGGAATTTTTGAAACGGGAATAGATTCACCTGCAGCTGTCAGTCTTGTACATCGTGTCGTGTGTCGACTATACCTGTCAGCATGCTCTCATTAATGATACAATCACCCGCAAGAAGCAAGCTGTCGCAAGGAAGTTGTGTCAGTGAAGGGTCGGAAACCTCATAGACGTCCCCAGGGACAAGTTCACTGGCGAGTGCCGCACGCCCTGTAACAGTATTAGCGAAGGCCCGATACGATACTTGCATAACCTACAGAAGCCGTTGCGAAGGACACGCACGTCGCAGTCGAAGCGGGAGATTTCCCTCAGGCGGCGCATCGTCTGCACATCGATGAGCATCAGTGGCACGGACCATAGAGAACCACTTACCGAACGAGTCTCGATGACAGTAGTGGTGATGGAGAAGACTGAAATCAGGAATATGGCTGCTGCATAGTAATAGTACTCGTCCATTGACCAGAGAATGAGACTGGCGATCTGAAAGACATAAAAAGGATGAAAAGCCTTTGACGATGTCAGCTCCTGCCAAACCATACGAGTCCTGGACAACCGACCTCATCCAGCAGCAGTTCAGGTATGGTCTTCTGATGGATCTCGATCAGGTTCTTGCCAAACACTTGTTCCCGCGGCTCCCTCTCCTCGGCATCAAGTCCTTCGCGAAGTGCCTTGACGGATATCCATTGCGGGTCCCACCAGTCGTTGTTCAACACGAACTTGTCTTCCAGTGGATGATACAGAAGCCTCATGTACCGGTAGTCGACAAATCTAAGGCGAGGTAATTCGGCATCTTCGTCGTATCGATGTCCGTTCATCTTCTCCTTGCTCGGTGCGGTGAAGACGGTTGACATTGGGTGGCCATACTCCTCCGAAGATACATTGTGTACCGTGAACTCGCCCCATTGGTTCTGAAACTTCTTAGCCTTCTTCTTGGGACGCTGTCGCTCTGGGCCATAGCTCACCTCTACGACAACCCAAGAGCATTTCCTGAGCGGGGCAGGAGATCCAACAAGAGACATACGCCATCGCGGCATCCAGCGGAACACAAGATATCCAATACCAGCCGTTAGGACACAGATTGCCAGGTATATTAGATAGCCCAGATTGCTGGTTCTGAAGCCTGCAATGGCCATTGTCAAATCCTCGCTCTCAATATACAGCTTCTGGCTGAAATTGCCGCCATCGTCGTGCTTCTGGGTGTCGCTTCGCGCCGACTCATGCCTGCGGAGGAGTGGTTGGTCGGCCGACGATCGATACCGACTCGAACTCTTGCGCCGGGGAGTTTCCTGCTCGACACCAGCCTCCAGATCTCGGGCTTCATCAAGTACGTTGCCCAGCTCGTCGTCGCTCTCGATCGCTTCCTCATCGGAGTAAACGTCTGGGGTTGTCTCTTGATCCTCCTGCTCTTGGAAATACGTGAAGCTGGCGATGCTCCCAGCGCGGCGTCGGGGAAGGGCGTACTGGAAGCCCGTTACACTGGACGGCACTGATTCCGATATAGGACCGCTGAAAATGTCATCACTCGACATTTCCACTTGGGAGAGAATGGAAGCTGCGTTCGAGAGATTTGAGTCTCTTCTCTGCATTGAACGTCGTCCTGCGCTCGAGCTGCGCCGGAACGACCGACGATGTCCATCAATGTCCATGGTGGGCAGATGAGTGCCTGCTACGGCACTATGCGCGGGACTCCTATAACATGCTGGCCTGTCGATAGGTGAGGGAGAAGGATACCGTGTGGTAAGAGGTGAAGTAAGGGTGGTTCAGGCGAGACTCGGTGCTCCGCGCAGCATTAAGATAGCAGTACACAGTACCTATCTATGTAGGTATGCTCCATAGAATTTCAACGTGCCGCACTATGACGTCCAGGCGTGTCAGAAAAGAGCCCGACAACAATACGGAGCACGAAGTATCTGCACCCCCGTAGTGCTGATAGCGCTCCTTGTGCTCCGCCGAGGCGGGCAGGCCACGTCCAGTCCAGCTTCGGTGTAGCGTGGCGTGCGTGGACGGGCCTTGGGTTGCCACCTTCTTGCGCGGGATTGCACAACGTGAATGGGAAATGGGGTGGGCTGGAAGTTTTAGGTTGAATCTGTATCGTCAATCTTCGAGTTGATGCTCGCACCTTTCAACCTCTCAACCTTTCACGTCTCACTGCTATCCCTTCCGTCCGCTGCCTCCTAACACCGGAATTCTCAGTTCTGGGCTCTGACCGTGGCAACGTCATTGTCAAGTGGCTGTTGTGAAAATCCTTTGACCGCAGTTTCACTTTAAAGTGGCCGTCGCCAGGACAGAGTGACTCCCAACATCCCACAACATCCGAATTTTCCCACTTCGTTGAACTTGTCACACGAAGACCGTGACCGTCGCCATGGCGTCAGAAATACCCAAGCGCAACAACATCACGGCGCCTACACCTCAGAACAGTATGTGAATACTTCCTACCCACACCTAGGAAGCTGCTCACAGGTTTGCACAGCACCCGCGTCGAACGCACCCATTTCAAGTCATGCCGCCCAGCCAGGTGTCCCATCGATTGAGGAAGGTGAGCACGACCCGCCTGCGGAAGCCCCAACGAATTTTGTGGCAAAGTACTGATGTTGCAAAGAGGATCTCGATCGAGCTGCTGCGGCAAGCTTGTTTGCTCGGAACCCGTAAGTCTTCCCCCCTCATCAGATCGTCTATAATAAATGCATTGCGATTGCCCGCCCCAGATTCACACGTACTGACATTCTCCTCAGAGCCCTAGTGCAGATGATGGAGGCGAAATTGGGCGGGCTGATCGGCCGTTCCTCCGGTTATATCGAGTCACTCCCTGCTCAAGTGCGCCGTCGAGTCGATGGTCTGAAAGGCATCCAGAAGGACCATGCAAAGCTAGAAGCAGAATTCCAAGAAGAGGTGTTACAGCTTGAGAAGAAGTACTTTGCGAAGTTCACCCCACTCTACGTCAAGCGCGCCAAAATCGTCAATGGCGATGCTGAACCTACCGAGGACGAGGTGGCCGCCGGAAAAGCAAAGGACGAGGAGGACGAGGAGGATGATGAACAAGAAGAGGAGAAAAAAGAGACACCCGCAGACGATACAAAGGGTATCCCAGAGTTCTGGCTGTCTGCCATGAAGAACCAGATCTCCCTTGCCGAACTCATCACCGACCGCGATGAGGATGCCCTCCGATCCCTGACTGACATCCGCATGGAATACTTGGATCGCCCGGGTTTCCGCCTGATCTTCGAGTTCGCCCCTAATGACTTCTTCACAAACAAGACCATTTCAAAGACGTACTTCTATCGGGAGGAGAGTGGCTACGGTGGAGACTTCATCTACGATCATGCCGAGGGCGACAAGATTGACTGGAAGGCTGGCAAAGATCTGACGGTTAGAGTTGAGAGCAAGAAGCAGAGAAACAAGAGTGCGCAAGCCATCTCCACCACTAGGACTGATTGCTGACCACTGAACAGACACTAAGCAAACCCGAGTCATCAAGAAGACAGTCCCTACAGAGTCATTCTTCAACTTCTTCGCACCCCCAGCCGCCCCCGGCGAGGACGACGAGGTTGCTTCCGACATTGAAGAGCGCCTCGAGCTCGACTACCAGTTGGGCGAGGACATCAAGGAGAAGCTCATTCCTCGCGCCATTGACTGGTTCACGGGCGAAGCTTTGGCCTTTGAAGAATTTGAGGACGCCGAAGAGGGCGAGTTCGACGATGAGGACGAAGACGACGACGAGGACGAAGAGGAGGCGGAATCCGACGAAGATGATGAGGAAGAAGGTGGAAAGCCTCGTTCTCAGCAAACATCAGAGTGCAAGAACCAGTAGACACAGCTTGTCAAGGGAGACTTCAACGGCTGTGTCTACCCGGATAGGAGCAGTAGGTCTGCAGTATGCTGTTGAGGCAGCAGTTGCGTACGATGCTGGTCCCACAGACAGCAGGCGCGCCGCAAACTGACTGGCTTGGAGCTTGATGGGCGTTTGAGAATGCTGCGATCCATTTCATTGATAACGCGTGCCGGGCACAACGGGCAAGTCACGCCCATGGCGGTCCTTTCCTCCGGTCCTGTTATGAAATCAAAGTCCATTTGCGGGTTTCATATGGCGTTGAGACGGCATAAGACAAAAGAGCAACAGAACATTTCCTAGCCAGCGTCCCAGCAGTAGGTACATTGTGGTATCTGGAAAGTTGTTCCCAGCCTAGGATTAGTGGGTAATGAAGAAGAAAGGCGGCCTCCTTGTGCGTATCACCGGAATCGAGACCGTTGTACACAGTAGGAACATCGTGGGCAGATCTCGTAGAAGGCGCGCAGAAGCCTGTCACAGTCTCGCTTTAACCCTTGCTCGTGCAGACAGGCGGCAAAAAGGGGTGCCTGGGTTAGCCCGGAGCAGCCCATCAACGGGCGCCGGACAATTTATGAGGCTCCTGAGGCCTGGAGTGGAGAGCCAGGGCGAGCTAGGGGCTGGCGATGAAGCTGCGCTTGGGTGGAACGGGCTTAGTGACGCCGCGGACCCTTTCGTTCTGGCGCACGCGTCTCGCTGAACCCGAGAACTTTCTGACACCCGCAAACTTGTCCCCAAGAAAGTCAACGGCCAGCCGCACCTCAGCGCAGGCCTCTGGACACACATCTCAATCACCATCTCATCACCATCACTCGCTTCTTTCCTGCCTGTTAGTCCCCTTTGTGGCCATACCTCGAGCGCCCTCCGGGCCAGAGAAAGCGATTGACACGTCTGCAGGCACCTCCTTGCATCTCCGAATACATGGCTGTCCTCATCGGCAATACCTGAGAGTTGAGCCCACGCATTGATCTTCACCGCCCACGATGGCGAGCTGGGAAGTCGGCACCCGGGCCTGGTTCCCCAACCAGGCCGAGGGCTTCATCCCCGGCGAGCTGGCGGAGCGAAAGGCATTAGGAGATGGGAAGATAGCCCTCGTCTTCACCCTCTCCGACGAGTCAAAGCAAGTCGTCGAAACCACAGAGACCGCGCTGCTCGACACGCAGAATGCCTCCCTCCCGCCCCTGATGAACCCTCCTATGTTCGAGGCCGCCGAAGATCTGACGAATCTGTCCCATCTGAACGAGCCGGCCATCCTGCAGGCCATCAAGCTTCGATATGCCCAGAAAGAGATCTACACGTATAGCGGTATCGTTCTCATAGCAACCAATCCTTTCGCGCGGGTAGACTCCCTCTACGTGCCCCAGATGGTGCAAGTATATGCTGGCAAGCAAAGAGCGTCCCAAGCACCCCATTTGTTTGCCATCGCGGAAGAAGCATACACAGACATGTTGCGAGACTCGCGGAATCAGACCGTCGTCGTGTCTGGAGAGTCTGGCGCCGGTAAAACAGTCAGTGCCAAATACATCATGCGCTACTTCGCGACGAGAGGAGCCCCTGGGCAAGCGAGCAAGGGGACCAAACCCAGAGCTGATGCCATCAGCGAGACGGAAGAGCAGATCCTGGCAACCAACCCGGTCATGGAAGCATTTGGCAACGCGAAGACAACGAGAAACGACAACTCCTCTCGATTCGGAAAATACATCGAAATCATGTTTGACTCGAATACCGACATTATTGGTGCCCGGATAAGAACGTATCTGCTGGAACGATCAAGACTCGTGTTTCAGCCCTTGAAAGAGAGGAATTACCACATATTCTACCAGTTGGTGGCCGGCGCCACCGAAGAGGAGAAGCAAGAGCTCGGTCTGCTATCGGTAGAGGAGTTCGACTACCTCAACCAAGGAAACGAGCCTACAATCGACGGCGTTGACGATGCTGCTGAGTTCGCTGCGACAAGGAAGTCGCTGACCACGATCAACGTCTCTCCAGCTTCGCAAAAGGAGATCTTCCGGGTCCTTGCAGCTCTTCTGCATATCGGTAACATCAAGATTACTGCCACGCGAACTGACTCCACCCTTTCTTCCAGCGAGCCGTCCGTGGTCAAGGCCTGTGAGATCCTGGGTATTGATGCGGGTGACTTCGCAAAATGGACGGTGAAGAAGCAGCTCATTACGCGAGGAGAGAAGATCACCTCAAATCTCACTCAACAGCAAGCCACCGTTGTGCGAGATTCAGTCGCCAAATTCATCTACTCTAGCCTGTTCGACTGGTTGGTCGAGACGATCAATCACGGCCTCGCGACTGACGAAGTCCTTCAGCGACTCAACACCTTCATTGGCGTGCTCGATATCTATGGGTTCGAACACTTTGCGAAGAACTCCTTTGAGCAATTTTGCATCAATTACGCCAATGAAAAGCTCCAGCAAGAATTCAATCAACATGTGTTCAAACTTGAGCAGGAAGAATACATGCGGGAAGAGATCGACTGGACTTTTATTGACTTTTCCGACAATCAGCCTTGTATCGACCTGATCGAAGGAAAACTGGGTATCTTATCGCTTCTGGATGAGGAATCTAGGCTCCCTATGGGCTCGGATGAGCAATTCGTGACAAAACTGCACCACCATTTTGCTGCAGATAAGCAGAAGTTTTACAAGAAGCCCCGATTTGGCAAATCAGCCTTCACGGTTTGTCATTACGCCCTTGATGTCACCTACGAGTCCGATGGCTTCATCGACAAGAATCGTGATACGGTACCTGATGAACAGATGGAAGTCCTTAAGAAGTCCACGAACCGCTTCTTGGTCGAGGTGCTTGAAGTTGCCGCGTCAGTCAGAGAAAAGGATACAGCCCAAACCTCATCGAAGACGGTTGGTGCCGGGGGGGGACGCCGAGTCGGCGTGGCTGTTAATCGCAAGCCCACCCTGGGCGGTATCTTCAAGAGCTCTTTGATCGAGCTCATGCAAACCATCAACTCGACAGATGCACATTACATCCGATGTATCAAGCCTAATGAAGCGAAGGAGTCGTGGAAGTTTGAAGGTCCTATGGTGTTGAATCAACTTCGGGCTTGTGGCGTCCTTGAAACTGTCCGCATCAGCACGGCCGGTTACCCAACGCGATGGACCTACGAGGAATTTGCTCTTCGTTATTACATGTTGTGCCGATCCGCCGAATGGACGACCGAGATTCGTACCATGGCCCAAAACATTCTTGTGAAAGCGCTAGGCAAGCTTGCCCACGAGAAGTCGGACAAATATCAGCTTGGTCTGACCAAGATCTTCTTCCGCGCCGGCATGCTCGCTTTCTTGGAGAACCTTCGGTCTGCCCGTCTCAAGGAGTGTGCTATCATGATCCAGAAGAACTTGCGCGCGAAATACTACCGCCACAAGTATCTTGACGCTCGACAGTCCATCCTCGGCTTTCAAGCCGCAACACGTGCATTCCTCGCCCGACGGAAAGCTGAGGAAACGAGACAGACCAAAGCTGCCACCGATATCCAGAGAGTGTGGAGGGGCCAAAAGGTGCGAAAAGAGTATCTTCGGATCCGAAGCAACCTCATCTTGTTCGAATCGATTGCCAAAGGCTATCTGTGCAGGAAAAACATCCTCGAAACACGTATTGGCAATGCAGCGATTACAATTCAGCGGGCCTTCCGCTCGTGGCGAGCACTGCGTGCCTGGAGACAACACCGCAGAAAGGTGGTTATTATACAGAACTTGTGGCGTGGTAGGGTTGCTCGGCGAGACTACAAGAAGATGCGTGAGGAGGCACGCGATCTCAAGCAGATCTCCTACAAACTGGAAAACAAGGTCGTGGAGCTTACACAATCGCTGGGAGCTCTGAAACGAGAGAACAAGGGTCTGGTCTCGCAATTGGAGAACTACGAGAGTCAACTGAAGTCGTGGAGGTCAAGACACAATGCTCTGGAAACTCGGACTCGAGAACTTCAAAGCGAGGCCAACCAAGCTGGCATTGTCGCAGCGCGGTTGGCTGCGCTGGAAGAAGATCACGCCAAGCTCCAGAGCAGTCACGACGAGCATATGGGCAATGCTAAGAGGCTGCAAGAAGAAGAACGCAAGCTGCGGGAGTCGCTCAAAACTTCCAATGCCGAGCTGGAGAGCCTACGGCAATCGGTATCGGCGCACGAGAGCGAAAAGGGCACGCTGAGGCAGCAAATTAACGAGCTACAAGATCAGCTTGAAATCGCCAGACGCGCCCCTCCTCCGCCGGCGACGAACGGTGCCACCAACGGAGAATATGTCAACGGCACCTCACAGCTCGCAAATGGTCTGATCAATCTCGTTTCCTCCAAAAAGCCTGTCAAGCGACGGAGTGCTGGGGCCGCTGAGAGAAGCGAAACGGACCGATACAGCGGCGCATACAGCGCTCGGCCTATGTCCATGGCGATTGACACCCACAGCAAGACTCTCTCCGGTTCTACGTTCAATCCGGGTTTGGACAGCGTGGAAGTGGAACTTGAAAACCTCCTTGCGCAAGAGGAAGAACTCAACGATGAAGTCACGATGGGTCTCATTCGAGGCATCAAGATCCCTCAGCCAGGCGCCAACCCTCCTCCGACAGACAAAGAAGTCTTGTTCCCCTCCTACCTCATCAATCTGGTGACTTCGGAGATGTGGAACAATGGCTTCGTCAAGGAATCCGAGCGCTTCCTCGCCAATGTTATGCAATCCATCCAGCAAGAAGTTATGCAACACGAAGGGGAGGAAGCAATCAACCCGGGCGCGTTCTGGTTGTCTAACGTCCACGAGATGCTATCCTTCGTCTTCTTGGCCGAGGACTGGTATGAGGCTCAAAAGACGGACAATTATGAGTATGATCGCCTGCTTGAAATTGTCAAGCACGACCTGGAGAGTCTCGAGTTCAACATCTACCATACCTGGATGAAGGTGCTGAAGAAGAAATTGCACAAGATGATCGTGCCCGCTATCATTGAATCGCAGTCCCTTCCCGGCTTCGTCACGAACGAGAGCAACCGTTTCTTGGGCAAGTTGCTTCCGTCCAACAATACGCCTGCCTACAGCATGGACAACCTGCTCAGCTTGCTGAATAATGTCTTCAAAGCGATGAAAGCGTATTACCTCGAGGACAGCATCATCACTCAGACAGTGACGGAACTGCTGCGTCTCGTCGGTGTCACAGCTTTCAACGATCTCCTCATGAGGCGCAACTTCCTCTCGTGGAAGCGTGGATTGCAGATCAACTACAATATTACGAGGATTGAAGAATGGTGCAAGAGCCATGATATGCCCGAGGGCACACTGCAATTGGAGCATCTCATGCAAGCTACGAAACTGCTGCAATTGAAGAAAGCGACGCTCAACGATATCGAGATCATTCAGGACATCTGCTGGATGTTATCGCCCAACCAGATCCAGAAACTTCTCAATCAGTACCTCGTCGCAGACTACGAGCAGCCCATTAACGGTGAGATCATGAAAGCCGTGGCCTCGAGGGTGACCGAGAAGAGTGATGTGCTGCTGCTTGCCCCAGTGGACATGGAAGACAGCGGGCCTTATGAGATTGCTGAACCGAGAGTCATCACCGCGTTAGAGACGTATACTCCGTCATGTAAGTTTCATCCCCATGAGGTCTAACTCTGCGCGTTCTCTGTTGCCCGGCAAACTATTCTGATGATTACTGACTGTAACGCGCAATAGGGCTTCAAACACCGCGTCTCAAGCGCCTCGCAGAGATCGTATCCGCCCAAGCCATGGCCCAGCAGGAGCAACAAGGGATACCGGACGGAGCGATCAGTGATTCAGAAGCCATTGGCGCCTAAGAGCCTGGCCTCTGGATTCTGGATGGAGCTGTCGAGCGCAAACGGAGGCTAAGAGGATTTGTACGAGCAAATTTTATACACAAGCTTTGGGCATAGCACCACGGAGTTATCGAGACACTTGGACTGCTGTGCAGTGCTGGTCAAAGCCCTGCACTGGCACAAACTTTGGCCGTGGCGTTGTTATGTGTCCTGGACCCGAACACTATATGTCAATGTTAATGTTGAGCGAGAGTTCAAGAACAAGTACCGAGCCTTTCTGAAACCAATGGACCTTTGTTGAAGACGAAGCTGCCCCTTCTTCCTGATGGTACTACTCACTTGTGGATCCAGGTTCCGACATCGCTTCTCGATAATGCAGCAGGCACATCTCGAAAGCAGGGACGCGAAGCGCCCGACAATTCGAGAAGCCAGCCAAGTTTGGATTTCTGATTCCGAGAGGACTGACTCGATGGCGATCGGCAGATTCCCCGATGCTTCTAACCCTTGTCAAGTTTCTAGGCACGCGGAAATACGAGGAGACAGATTTCCCCGGATCTCCTCGAAACAGCCTGCCAAGAGCATTGCCGCCTTGCCTACGTCTTGTTTTCTCCACCGGAGCGAGTATCCCCCCAGATCTTTGACTGTCTAGGTTCTTTCGACGTCGCCTACGGGTCTCAAGTTCATTCTTCGACGAATTTGGCTCGCCTTCCCTCGAGAAAGATGGGGCCCCCAGGCTCGGCGTCGGCTTTTCGAAAGTCTTGTTTTGTGTTCTTGGCCCTTGTTCTCCTGTCGCGGACCGTTGGCAGCATCTTGGCTGCATGCATGTCTTTTCTGGCGCAACAGCGTCGGTTATACACATCGCGGGACAAGGACGCGGGGCCACGACGTGCAGGGCAGAAACCGAGGGTGTCGGAACATGGCGGTAATGCTGTGATATAAGTCTGAGGCGACCAGGGCTGAACCGACGGATGATCTCGACCCTACTCCGCTCCGACGTCTGTTACCTTGGTACTCTTCGCGATTCCAGAGGCTTTGAAATGGCAGAGAAGCCGCTCTCGGTGTCTCACGTTGAGAAGTCAGACGAGGCCTTGTCTCACAGCTCTGACCGCAACGATGAAGAGACATCAACGCCTACAGGGCAAGATTGGACACCAGAGGAGGAAAGAGCGCTTGTGTATGTATGCCCTGCTCCTCATGCGACACATGCCCAGAAGACTGACAAGTCTGCCAGCAAGAAATTGGACTGGCGCGTCTTTCCCATGCTCTGCGTGGTCTTCGGCCTGTCGTTGCTCGATAGAACCAACATCTCTGCGGCTTACATTGCTGGCATGGCCGTAGATCTCGAGCTCACGGTCGGAGCGAGGTATTCCATTGCATTACTGGTCTTCTTCATTGGTCAGTATTTATAGCCCCGATTCGAAAAGCGACAGTGTGCAGTCCATGCTGATGTTCATCACCAAGGGTACGCCATCTTCGAGTTACCGAGCAACCTGGTGATCCGGAGGCTGGGCGCCCAGATATGGTTGGGCTTCCTCATCACTGCATGGGGACTCTGCGTGCTCGGCATGGGCTTTGTACATAGCTGGGAGGCTCTCACCGTCTGTCGGGCCTTGCTGGGTATCTTTGAAGCCGGCTGTGAGTTTGCTGCCCTTCTGCCTACTCGGTGGTGTCGTGAGCTGACAGGTGTTGGAAGTGTTCCCCGGTGGTGTCTTCATCATCGGTTCGTGGTATCGTCAATTCGAGACCGCCCGCCGTGTGTCGCTGTTCTACATGGCGTCTCTGCTGTCGTCGGGATTTGGTCCGATTTTCGCCTACGCGCTTTCCTTGATCCGTGTTGGCGACGGCATGTATCGCAGCGGCTGGCGCTGGATCTTCATCATCGAGGGAATCGCTACCGTCGTGGCTGGGCTGATCTCCCCCATCTTCCTGGTTGAATGTGAGTGTTAGCGTTCGACATCACCGTCCTTGGCTTGGGTCATGTGCAGCATCGCCCGTCCCGGGCCTTGGTCTTCCGCAGCAACCACCGTTGTTGGCCCTCGTCTTTGTGCAAAGGAGAAGCAAAGCACTAACTTAACGGACCACTAGTTCCGGAAAGAGTCAAATGGCTGAACCCACGGCAGAAGTACATTGCTCAAGCGCGTCTACAAGGCGACCAGGCGGCGAAAGCATACGTCCACCCGACATTGAGAGAATCGATGAAAATGCTTCTTGATTGGAAACTCATCATCTAGTACGTTCCTGTTTCTCTCTTTGGGGGAGCGGCACGTGCGAGTCTCTGTCCTATGTAGCCGACTAATCCCCCTTTGCGCAGCTCCATCCAATACTTCGTCGCCGCGTCCAGCGTATACTCGATCGCCTACTTTCAACCCATCATCCTCCGCGAAGGCATGGGCTTCAGCTACGCGCTCGCCCAGATCCTGGGTTCGCCGCCCTACGTGTTTGCCATCATCGCCTCGCTCGCCATGGCGTGGGTATCCGACCACTACCGCGTGCGCTGGCCCGTGCTGGTGTTTCAGAGCGTCGTCGGCATCGTCGGCCTTTTGGTCATTCTCTACCCGAAGCCGCCGGGCGTGCGGTACTTTGGCCTCTTCCTGGCCGTCTTTGGCTGCCAGGCCAACGTTCCGGGCACGTTGGCGTACGGACAGAGCCAGACCGCCGAGGTGCGCAAGAAAGGTGTCGTGGCCGCGGTGATGATCAGTGTGGGTGCCGCGGGTGGTATCACAGGCAGCACCATCTTCCGAAGCCAGGATGCGCCGGTAAGTCTTGCTTTCTTTCTTCCTTCCTTCCCAGAGGAGCTGCGAATTTGTTTGCGACTTCCCGAAAGAAAACGTCGATGCTGATTTGATTGCCCTGTCTGTAGCAATATTTGCCCGGCATGTGGTCTACCATTGCCATGCAGGTTCTCTACTCGGCCGTGACGTTTGGCATGAGCATGTACCTGAAGCGACAGAACCGTCTTGCGGACGAAGGAAAGAGGCCCGCTCTTGAGGGCGTTGAAGGGTTCAGGTATGCGCCTTGAGCCGGTCCTGCCGTCGCCGTCCAAGCAGGTAGGACCGGCTCGGCGGTTTATCAAAGGAAACATGGCGACAAAGGGTTAGAGCATAAGGCTGGAGGGAAGGTATCCGGGTAGGCCGTTGCCGCGAGGACGGCCATAGCAGTGCTCGAGCACTACTCCACAATGACAGGCCGGTGGCGTGAGGAAATATACGTAGTCGCGTAAACAACTTTACAAACACCTTATTCGGACCCTATGGCCACAAACCGATTTGACGGCACTCCGGCAGTACGGGTAACAGAATAGCATGAGCAGGCTAGAGCCACGATTTCAGTACATGCTTCGGAAGTCAAGCCCTTCCTTCCACAACCTGCCCATTAACTACCCACATACACGACGTCCATTCGCACCTCGATGTCATTCGTATTAGCATGCGCGCTGGTTCAGTGGGTTCCTCGGGCTCATAATAGCGCATTGCTCAACATGATTGTCGCAACGAACACGGCCACCTTCCAATTGACAGCACCAGCAAGTGGAGCAGCCCCTGAAGAAGCGACCGTGGTCGTGGTCGTGGTCGTGGCCGTGTCGGCACTCCGTTTGGCAACGAGGTACTGCTCTCCATGAACGGCCTCACCAATCGATAGGAGGTACGGATCCCTCTTGACCTTGTCGTCCGCGCCGTTATGAGCCACAGGTTTTAAGCCATTGCAGGTGAACGTCTTGGAGACACACGCGCCGTTGCAAGGCCCGTAATGTGTGACGAACTCCCACGGGACGGTGGCGCCGCCGTCTGGGCTGTAAAAGGTGCAGACGCACGCGTTGATCTCGCCTCCCGCGACGAGCTTGTCGTAGAAGAACCCCATGGCGGCGCCGAAGCAGTTGTATCTCCTGGACACGCCGGTCACTACTCTGCCGAAGTTGCCCAGTGGAGACACCGTGTGGCATGCCGAGTCGTAGAACTGTAGGCGTGCTTGGTCGTAGCATAGGGCCACGCCTAGGTGTTGCGTCGTGCTCATTGTGGGAAGGCGGGCAGGATGCGTGCAAATGTGGATGCTTGTCTGTGGTCTCTGGCTGGCAGACTGCTCGCTCGCTCGGGAACGGAGTGTACTCAGTGTGGATGACAGAGCGTCAGAGACGAGCAAAAAGTAGGTAGGATCAGGATGATGGGATCATTATGCAGGATGTGTAAGGCTCTCAGAGTGAACACCGAACACTGAACACAATGCCTGCGACGAGGGGAGAGGGTTGATGCGGCTGAGAGTAATAATTATACCTTTTGCGTCCCTGCAAACCCTCCTTCGTGGGACCTGGACCAAGGCACGTCAAGGTCAGAATGTCATCCTCTGCCGGTGCCGGCCAGCCGGTCGGTCGGACAGGCTGAAATTTGCGTTTCGTGGTCTGCGTTTTGCCTGCCTACCTATCGTGCGGCAGGCATATGGTACAGAACGGCATCCTCGTATTCCTCGAGGCGAAGCCTGCCCAGCTGTCGGCATGTGGTGCTTAGAGTGCTTGTAGTGCTTGTGTCGGCACCAATGAAGCCTAGTCCCTGTGTAATAGTCGCAACTTCCTCCCGAGCGCATGGCATTGGGAGTGTATTCGAAGCGAGCTGAGGAAGATACCTGCAAGTAGGAAGCAAATCGGAGCACGAAGTATGAGGGTAGCAGACAGGCGGGACAGGAAATGCGTTTCAGTGTGGAGCTTCGTCCCCAGCTGGTGGTTCTAATCGGTTAGGTCAATGTCTGGCAAGGGGCCAGACTCCCTGATTAAGCGACTGAAAAAGGGTCTGTCCCCTTAGGCGAAAATCAGTCCGTCCCTTCCTGGCAGCCTGGCAAAAGGTTTGGGGAGTACGGAGTATTTCGAGTGGTACTCTTTACCTTTGGCGCACCATATGACTTTACTCCGGTTGATCTTGCAGCAAGATTATGAACAAAAGGATCTGACTTGGATTTCCATGCTTTTCAGCCGGCCGCCCCATTCCAGAAGATGGTGTGTGACGGCGTAAGGCTGCCATTGGGAGACATCTGGAGACTGGCGTTGAGACGCCACAAAGGTGACCAGCTGCGAAACAGCCCCGTCGTGATACGAGTAGCAGTACTAACAGTGTCGATTGCAGTATTCATTTGTAATATTCTATATGGGTGAACTAAAAGATCACAGTCCGATGAAATCCTGCCGGGCGCAATACTTCGCCAAGACCTGTGCACGTGATGTCACATGACTGGTGTGCCACTCGCGTTGTAGGTGGTCCCTTCCAAGACTGCCGGCGTGTCGAATCATGTACCATGAGTTTTGCGGTTACAGTTGCTTCGCTTGTTACCTCACATCGGTCTGGAATATTGTTACTGAGCTGGCTCTCCCAGCGCCACGTGGGCTACCGACAATGTCGTTGTCCTTCTCCAGCTTCTGACGAAAAAAGCCTAGCTCAAGCCAAGGATGGGTCTTCTCCACGCTCTCGGCAAGCACAGCCAATACCAGCCACCAAAAGCTTGAGGCTAGAGAAATGACCCCACATAAAGTGTGGGGAAAAGGCGGGGCCGACCTCGTGGGAGGGAAAGGTATCCCTTGTTTCCCCAACTTCGATGGGTCTCGAACAACCACCCATGGGTGGCGAGTAGGTGTATATATCCTGGGTGGGTCGAAATAACGCTCGCAGCCCATTTTCCGCAGCTCCCTGCTTCGGACAGCTCAGCATCACGGCCACAGTACCCGGGTGATAACAGTGCAACCATGAGCGATACCGAGAAACCTCAAGCCATGGCCCACGAGAAGCCTCTTGCTGAGGACACCTACCTGGAAGATGATCCGCATCGTGCCGCGCTTGAAGACAACCCCGACAGGCCGGAGAAGCTCACCTGGGGCACGGTGCTGTCTATCTTCGTAAGTTGAGACGGATCCCGCGTGTCGGTCAGATCCTAACTGATTTGCCATACAGTTTCTCGGCCTCGCTTTCGTGGGACCCGTGTCGGGCGGTTTCCTCCTGATAACCGCGATCTTGTTCCAGATCGGAACCGAGCTGGGAGATGTATCAAACATCGCGTGGATGCCCGGTGGCTGGTCCATTGCGTCCTCGGTCTCCTTCTCCATTGCAGGCTCGCTCAGCGACATTTTTGGCCGCAGATACGTGACGCTCAGCGGCCAGCTCTTCGCCGTGGTTGGCGCGGTAAGTTGTTGTCCCTTGTCCGAGAGATGCAAGAATTGCTGAGATTGACGGCCGTGTGAAGATTGTCGGCGCGACCGCACAAACCACAACAACCGTCGTCGTGGCGTGTACCTTGCTCGGGTTTGCAACCGGCATCATCTTCGTGGCGTATGCGGGTATTCCTGAGTTGCTTCCCAATAAGTGGCGGTATGTCACTGCTTTCTTGCCGCAGCCCCTACCGCAGTCGCAGTCGCAACTTCATCCCAGGCTGCGGATTGTGTGTTGTTCATGGAGCTGACTTGAAGACAGAAATGTCGGCCTCGCGTGGACCGAAGGCGCCATGGCCATCCCCTGGGCGATCTGCGGTGTCATCATCGCCAACGAGCTCGTCTCCAAGGCCTCGTGGCGATGGTGCTTCTACATCGCCATCATCTACGCGGTCATCTCCTTTGTCGGTACAGCGCTCGTCTACTTCCCGCCGTCGCGTCCGCGGCGAGACTACGAGAAGACGCGATGGCAGGAGATCAAGGAGATCGACTACATGGGAATCATCTTGTATACGTCAGGCTTGACCGTCTTCCTCGTGGGCCTCACCTGGGCCGGCACGCCCGCGCACCCGTGGAAGAGCGCGTCGGTCATCGCACCGATCGTCATCGGCGTGCTCGTCTTCATCGCCTGCTTCGTCTACGACTTCATCGTGCCCAAGCAGCCCTTCTTCCCGCTCGACTTGTTCCGCCGGTATCGGGAATTCACGGTCCTCCTCGTCGTCGTCTTTGTCGCCGGCATGATCTTCTACTCCATGTCCGGCATCCTGCCGCAGGGCACGCTCTACATGTTCGAGAGCGACGGCATCCAGATCGGCCTGACGCAGCTGCCCAACGGCATTGGCAATTTCGTCGGCGGCACACTCATGCCCGCCATCGCCCACAAGATCAAGCACTTGAAGATGCAGATGATCGTGGCGCTGACCATCCAACTCGTCTTTGTCGCGCTCTACTCGGTCGCCGTGCCGCAGAACAAAGCCGCGTGGATGGCCTTTCAGTTCTTCGGCCAGGGCTGCTTCGGCATGATCACCCTGCTGTGTTACTTTATCGCGGGTCTGCATGTGAGTGTTCGCCGCCTCCTCTCTTGTTCATCTCCCTTTTGGCGAAAGTGGGCCAGTTTTGATGTCCCCCTTCCTTTCTGCCAACACAGCCTCGTCAACCCCGGGCTAATTCAACCCCCTAGGTCCCACTCCGCGAACTCGGCATCGCCTCCGGCCTCATCGGCACGTTCCGCAGTGCGGGCGGCAGCGTCGGCAACGCCATCTTCAACACGATCCTCACCTCGGTCGTGACCGTCGAGATGCCCAAGCGCGTCACCGCCGCCGCCCTGGCCGCCGGCTTCCCAGCCGCGAACCTCGAGCAGCTCATCCCCGCGGTGGTCGGTGCGGCGACGGGCGTGCCCAACGCGTTTGGGGCCGTCGAGGGTGCGACGCCCGAGGTGCAAGCCGCGACGCTGGCCGCCTTCCGCGGCGCGTATGGGTATGCTTTCAAGCGCGTGTTCTGGGCGACCATCCCGTTCGGCGTCATCGCCATCGTTGCGGCGTGCTTTGTGCTGGATTCGTCGCAGTATTTGACGAATCATACAGCGGTACGGATGGAGAAGGACACGGTTGGTGGCGCCGCTGCTAGGTCTGGACAGCATCAGCATCAGCATCAGCACCAACGAGGCGGCGACGTGGAAACTCGTGAGGAGGCCGGAGAAGGTGTGAGCAAAACTTGACCAAGGACGAGTGAACTGACTGTGAACTTTGGTTACCGGCCCGTGAGGAGCGAGCCTACAACATGTCACATGATGATTACGTCCTCTTGGGTGAGCCCCCTCTACTTACATGTATCGTGTACGGGATTATTGTCATGAGAGTGCCGTGTTGGTGGATCGATCAGCCTACATATAATGGCCGTACTCCTGCATGGCGGGCATGGGCGAGTGGGTGTGTGGCATATAGCATGAACATCTCTAATAACCCAGATTGAAATCAAGAGTTGGAACTAGAGATTCGCTTGACGTTCCGAACACATCAGGCTTCCAGTGTGGTGCGTTCGTCCGTAGTCGAAGTCTCCATATTTGATCTGATACGTTGTGTCGGTTGTGCTTTTGCCCCGAAGGTACTGTAGGTGCAGGGCCAACAAGGGGCGAAGACACGGCCAAAGTACCGACTCCGCATTGCTGTGTAGGTCTGTACGCATCTGCATGTGAGTACGGATGCCCACAAGCCTCATCTTGAACACCGGCAAACGCTATCGCAGCCTGACTTACGGTCAGTCTTCCCGGTCTCCTGCGGCTTAGTCACATTGCCTTGCCGGGGAGTTCTACCTTTGTTCGAAATGGGTCCAGCACTGGACATACATCCCGAACATTGTGGGCCTGCCTGCAGAATGGTGTCTGGTCCTTCGAAGGGAGCGGACGAAAGCATGGATACGACTACTGACGGAGGCCCGCAGAGTTCTGAGCAAGGGATAGTGTGCCAGATCCAGGGCGGTACGCTAAAGCCATGTATCCAAGAGACCAGCCTTCTCGCCGGCCTTTGGAAGCTGTGGAAAGTATGATCCGAGATCAAAGGTAGCAAGTCTGAGTCTTGATTCTGCTTGGCTCCTCGATTAATTCATGTACAAGGCTTGGTCACGGTATCGGCGTCGGCAGTCCGTATACGAGCTATTATGACATTTGTAAGCGATGGAAGGAAGTGTTACAGGGCAATGGCAATGGCAGATGTTCGCTCTGTATTCTTCTTGCTGAAGGGAAGTTGCTAGGGCGATCTGACACGATCCGCCGGCCGACACGTCCGCTGTGTGGGCCGCCATGACATCTCAGCATTTCCTGCAGTCTTTTGGGAAAGAGCCTCTAGATACGAGGATGATGGTGCTGGCATCGCCTTGACATTTTCCCTGCGGCTACTTCGTCGACCGGACAGAACAGGTAGAGGCAAGGCGAGCCGAGAACGTGACGGAGACCGCTAGCCAGAAACAGCTAGACCCTCGGCTTCATTTGCCTGCCCATGGATCTTACGCTAGCCAAGAACGGCCGAACTCCCGGACGATTGTCGACCGTGACTGACACTGGAGTCTGTGACCAGCACCAGCACCTGGTCGACAACATCCGCGGGGCAGCCATTACGCCGTCGCTGCTGATATACTGGACCGAGTGGGTCGCTATCATGCTCAAGGCGAGCGCAAGGGCCCGAATGCGTGGCGTCTTGCTCGTCTTCCGCCGTGTCTGTCCGAGTCCGGGAGACCAGCATCGCCTGCCTATTGCTAATATCTCTCTGCATATCGCCATGGCTCCGAGATGTGCAGATCTCAATTTCACGGGCCGTCTATCACATCTTTAAAAGACAGTGAGTGCTCCGAGCAGACTGGCATAGCGTGATTCAGCCCCAGGCACCTTTTTGCTCGTCTCAGCCACATACGCGCAGCCCATACATTGTCGACTCGAGCATTCCTCGCAAGTCTTCTCTTTTCTAGAGATCCGGTCCAGCAACTCAATCGCCTCACCTGCGTCTGAAAAGTCAAGCACATGACCATGTCGACGAAGTCTTCCAAAACAGTTCTCATTACAGGAGGCAATGGGGCGTTGGGATCACATATCGCCTTCGAGATTGCGAAGACACACCCGGAAGTCTTCTTCATCCTCACGTCGCGTAGAGAAAACGACGCGCAGGCGCAGAAGATTACGGCTCAGCTGCACGACAGTGGCGTGAGCGCTTTCGAGTTCTTGGCGCTCAACTTGGCCAGCTTCGCGTCGGTCAAAGCCTTCGCAGCCAAGGTGGCCGAGAGAGTTCGGTCGAAGACCATCCCACCCATCGCCGTCCTGATCAACTCGGCTGCATATTCGTCGTACGAGGTGGACGAGAAAACCGCGGATGGATTGGATCCGGTATACCAGACAAACGTTCTATCTCCGTTCCTCTTGACTGTGCTCTTGCTGGAGGACGGATTCCAGGTGGTGGATGGCGCGCCACGTGGCAAAATCATACAGATCACCAGTGAGACCGTGTCGATGGGCCAAGTGGACTTTTTCGACTCCTGGGGGCCGACCGAACAGATGCCTGTCGGTTCCAGCTTGGCGGTCACGCAGGGACTCACAAGATATGGCAGCAGTAAGTTGATTGGAGACCTGACCATGTATACTTTGAGGGAGAAGATGTTGGAGGTGAGACACTGGTCGTAACTCCGAGCTCCGTCCGTGCAGCTGATTTTGAGTCCAGGGCAAAACCAAGGGAGTCAACATTTTCTCCCTGGATCCCGGCGGGATGAACCACAACAGCAACCTCTCCCGGGGCAAGATGCCGACGGCTCTGAAGCTTCTGGCAAACATCCTTGTCATTCTAGGGCCCTTTGTCAGGTTGTTCAAGAAGAGCATGATCAACCATCCCAGCGTCCCGGCTGCAGCGGTAGCCAAGGCGGCCTTTGATGCGGCAACCGACGGCGTCGACAAGGAGGTGTATTTCGTGCTGGATGAACAGATCGGGTTGCAACGCATAGCAAAGGCCATGGCAGAGCATAAGGAGGCAGTGTTCGAGAGGGTCCTGAAGGATACGGGGGTCGGCATGAACCGAATAGACCGGCTGACGGGGTGAGGACGACGGCCTGCAGTGGGTGCAGCGAGGCAGCGAGACACATGACTCAACGCTGTCGTACAGTAGATCAGTCTTGATTGGCAGTCATTCAAGTTGAGATGGAGTGCGGTGATACTGTAGATCAACTTTAGTAATCCTGGCCCGGCGACGCAGTCAGCCCTTACCGGCCGCCACTGAATAAGAGAAGAATTAAGCCTCATCCCATCCAGAATACCGAAGGGGTACTGACAGTACTGGATACCGCGTAGAATATATCCGTCCCTCACCCATGTCGATGTCCATGGCTTTTACCTTTGACACCGATTTAAAATTCTATGTCGAGACATAGGACATAGACACTCCCACCTCGATAAATGGCGACCTCGACTTTAACCTCGACTTCAAGCTGCTGGACCTGCCGTCTCCGCAAAAAGAAATGCGACGCCTCGCACCCGACCTGCCAGACATGCCGCCGCCTCCTGATCCCGTGCTACGCCTACGGCACTAAACCGGGCTGGATGGACGGCGGCGACCGCGAACAGGACATGTTGGCCGAGATCCGCAGCGGCGTCAAATCCACGACCGAGCGACTGAGACGGGGACGAGCTCTGAAGGCTTTGCGCCAACGACATCCTTTGACTGCCGGTGCCGGTGCCGCTACCGCCACTGTCACTGTCATTGCCGACCCTACTGTGAGTGCACGTCAAGTGGCTCCAGCGGCCCATGGGTCGGATCCCCTTCCTCGCCCTGTCACAGTCACTACGACGACGGCTACAACGCCAACTGTAACCGACGAGCCAAGGCCCCGTGAGGGTGAGAACGAGAACCATCTCCTGGATTCGTACTTTGAGCGTGTCTTCCCCCGCCAGTTCCCCTTCTATCACGCTTCGTTGGTGGAGAAGGATTGCGGCTGGCTCCGCGTGCTGGCCTTGCGGTGTGAATCGCTGAAATATGCGGTCCTTGCGTTGGCGGTTGCGGATCCAGATACAGACACAGGTCCAGACCCAGGTCCAGATCCAGATCCATATTCAGTGGATAATAGACATGCAAAGGACGATGACATGCGAGACCACCACAGTCGGCAATCGCGCGACAAGGAACAGGAACAAGAAGAATTGTACGCACTGGCTGTCTCGGGTCTGCGCGACCATATCGACCGGGTGAGCAGGAAGAGTCTGCACGAAGGTCTCCGCGATGGGATCGAGGTGTTTGTCTGTGTCATCTATTTGATCATGCTTGAAGTAAGTTTTCACCCGAGTCTACCTAATTACAGTACTTGTATACTGTCCGGCCGGACGTTGATCACGCACGCACGAATGGCTCGCTGCCACTGCATTTCCACCCTCCCTTCGTCGCTCCCTCTCCCTCCCCCTCCCCTGCTGATGCCAATTTTTCTCCCTCCAGAACACCCGAGGTCGTTTCAACAACTGGCAGAAGCACATGGCCGCATCGCCTGGGTTGTTCCCATTTCTCACAACCTACTGCGCGAGTTTCCCGGATCCCGGCGTCTCGGTCTTGCACGGCGAGGATGAGCTGGTCGATGCGGCAATCGGGGACGCCACTTCCCTGGACTCGGCGCTGTCGTTCGTCGACCATGCCGCGATGGAATTCTTCAGTGCCGTGTTGCTGTGGTTCGACACTCTGGCTTGCGTCTCCACGGGTCGCCCGCCGCGGTATGCCGACGTCTGCGCGGCGGCCTTTGGCCCCAGAGAAAGCAAGATTCGGCTGCGGAACATCATGGGCTGTGAAAACTGGGTGATGATCATCATCCGAGACATCGCGATCCTAGGCGGCGGTTCGACGACGTGTGGACGAGGGAGACATATTGCGAGAGATGAGGGCATCATCAGGAAACACGACGAGCTCAGGGAGCGTCTGGAACTGGGCCTCGTAGAGTCTTGGGAGAGCTACCTCTCCTTGCTGGCCCGACGAACCAAGGGTCGAGAGCAGGATATTGGACTGATCCAGGCGTCTCCGATAGTCACTTACATCTTCGCATGTGCAGCCATGGTCTATCTTACTGTGGGCTTTGATGGGCCGGATCCCCATCTGCCTGCGATACGGGACGCTGTTTCCAAGGCACTGACGGTGTTCAATGCCCTTCCTGACCGTCAACTACTGCGAAGCCTGGTTTGGCCTTTCTGCATCACCGGATGCATGGCGCAGAAGGACCAAGAGTCGTCGTTCGTACACCTCGCGTCCCTAGCCGGCATCTCCAACCACCGCCCGGACACTCTGTGGAAAGCGCTTCAAGTTATGGAGACGTGCTGGCAAATTCGGAGTCAAGAAAATCAGGAGCCTCCCTCTGCTGATTGGGTCACGGCCATGTCAAGGTTGGGTTATCAAGTGCTGCTTGTGTGAGGAATGGCGAATATCGAGTCATCCAATTGTGTCGTCACCGCAGGGGCCATCACCTTCGACCGGATACTGAGCTTGGACTCGCTGCAGACAGTACAAGAACGGCCATCTCGCAACACTCTTCTTGAGCGGACGGTGCACCAATACGGTTGACGGATTCTGAGAAGAGTTCCCGGCGATCATGAGGCCTAGTGAGATGGCCGCTGATGCGTTCTCCAGCGAAGACCCCAGCCTCCGCTGTCTGGGTTGGGCATCATTACGTCTCTTTCGCCACGACGACCGGCATCGGCCCAAGGTCTGCATTGTAGCAATCGATCCCGAAACTCCTCGATGGCACAAGCGCTTGATTGCGTTGACTCGAGGGCTGCTAGATTTGCGGAAGATGTTGGCGTCCATCGTGACTGCAACAGCAGCCACGTCGTACCTGGGAATGGCGTATGCCAAGTTGAAGGCGTGATCGAAGCCGGTGTTTGGGCCAGAGACGATGGGAAGATTTTCTAGAGCCTCGGCCATACTGCGGTTTGTTCTTAGGGTGGTTCCGACAGGAGAACTCTTGCACAGGGCACGGTTAGGAAGTTGTGGTGTTGATTCAGGCCTTCAACTGCCATAATATACACATCTTCATGCAGAGTCTGCCTGGTTCCGACTTGCTGGCCGGTCGATACCCAATTGGCTTCCTGCAGGTCATCACGACCGTCCCTCTAGAAGAATTTCTGGGCAAGAAACGCCCCTTCCCACCACTCCCAGTCCTGAAGCTTGGGCAGTGTCTCCCGCATGGCAGCCAGAAGTTCCAATCCTACCGTAGAGAGGTCACTGCTGTTGATCGGCGCGCCCCAACACCGACCGCTACGAACAAATCCAGATGAGGCTGTCTCGTCCCATTCGTGATGAAGGTAACATAGAGTGAGGTAATTGTGCTTGTCAGGTTCGTTGTCGCCGAGTGATACATGCATGCTCTTGGCCTGGATCGGTTGGCTCGGTTGTTACAGAAGCGGAAACAGAGCGAGACAGAGCGAGACAGATCAATTTCTCCAGCGACAGGCCTCCAGGCCTATCGGGTCCCCGAAAGGCGGTACAAGCGTCCCAAGAATTCCAGACTTGGCCAGCAGCAGGCCCGAAAACCATTGATCGGTCCTCCCTTTTCTTCTCCTTGTACTGTGGGCCGCGTGGACTACCCGGGGTTGCAAGGGCAGTATGAGCTACCTTCGTGAGTCCTGGCATAATGTGAAAGAAGTCTTTGTATCTGGCAATATTCACGAGAACCCAGGGTCCGTACACGGTGGCGGCATTGCATACTTCATGATAGACGCAACTACAATCCACAGTTAGCACCACCTAGCACCATTTGTAGGAGAGTACTAGAGGGTAACGCCCACCAGTCGGAATAACGTACTGAACAACTAGAAACCCTAAGCAGAGCATACCAAAAACTGCAAGAGCACTTACGGAAATCGAGATGGATTGGGGCTCTGTAAGTATCGCACCCGGTAACGCAATCGAAGGCGCCGACTCTTGCACCTCTCGTCCAGTGCCAGGGGGAAGCTGTCTTCATTGTTGTTTCAGGCTCGCTTTGATGATTCAGGAGGCCATGGGGCCGGCCGTTACTTGGTATGTTGGCATCTTCGTCTCCTTGCACTACAAGCTACTTGATCCTTGATTGTTTGGCGAAGAACGGGCGACCTCTTCCCCAGGTGATTCTGCAATGCGTATCGAACGCGACTCTGTTGGCATGGTTTCCCCTTCTGATCTTGGCCGCGTGCGACCGAGCTTTCGTTTGCATGAGCCTGTAATCGTCCAGAAACCGAGTTCCATCGGCAAAAGTAGGGTATGCAAGGGACGATCACAGGCATAACGGGCTGCTCCCCCCGCCGCAGGCTGCAGCAGCCGCAATTGAAGCTGAATGCTGGTACTGGGGTATGCTATCCATGGCCAGCAGAACTGTTAAATTGTCGGTATCCTGTGCTCGTTTACCAAAAATCGATCGGGAGAGCGATCGTTTTCAAAGAGGGTGGCAGGCCAACTTATTGAGCAGACCTTAGTGCGTGGTACACCTCGTCCTGCGGTTCGCCAGAGAGAGAGAGAGAGGCTTGTACCAATCAGGCTCGCCGGCTGCATGGCCTTGCACAACCTCACCGTAAGGACGGGTTAACCCGCACTGAAAGACACCTTGGCAAATGAGGTGAAAGAAAGCAGCCTTTCCCCAGATTTCGCGCTGGTTTCTCATGACGTCTCATGGATTTGCTGGTGGCCCGATAGCTCTATCTCAGGACACGGTCTCTGTGGTACGATAGAGGCTCGTACTGTGGAGAGATGAGGATCTTTCCAAGCATTTGAAAGCCATGGTGTAATACGGCAGACGTAGCGAGTCGAGCTGGCGTCGACCAGACGACTACCCGAGATAGATTCCTAGTTTAGCCATCGGGCATCTAATCACTCATCTTCCAGAGCATGCCAATCTGTGAAGACCTGTAAACATGCGGAAGCAGTGCCCTGGAATAGCGCAGCTCGAAGAAGTGTGGCGAGCGAGATGGATGGCTTCTGCAGCACATGGCCGACGACGCTCGAGCCGCGCGCTGTCTTTACTGCTGTAAATATGGTTATGGTGGCAGTTTCTAGGAGATTGGAACTTGGGTCTGCAAACAGGTTAGCAATAAGACTGTTGGTTGAGTATCAATCACGAAGCACAAATACGGTCATGCTTAGAGACACTAGGCGCAGATACGGTTGAGCACAAAATCCAAGAAGGGCGACGGTACGCCACACCCGCATTATCATTTTGACTCTCCGGTTTTACTTCTGGCTGTAGGCTCAACAAAATCAGCATGGTGGGAAGATTAGAGTGGCAGAGTACGACATATCCTAGCTCCCTCTCGGTGCGCCTACTGCAGCTGGTAATGAGACCAGCGATGGAATAGCTTTCGCTTGGAGCATTTGCGCTGCCGCAGTCGTGCCCCGAACGATTCCAGAAAAGGAAGTTTAACCGCACGACAGAAGAAGATGCGGAGTAAAAAATACCGAGTACACAGAAGCGAGTCGCGAAAAACTACGGAGTACTGGAACCAGATATTGATCGCATTGTTCTCTCCAGTCCAGTCCAACTCTGCAGTCGCGTAATGCGCTCTCTTCCAAACATCATCATAACCGGCACCCCCGGTGTCGGCAAAACCTCCACTGCCACCCAACTCCTCAGTCTGGCATCATCCTCCAGTCCCGCGATAAACCTGAGACATCTCTCGATCAATGACCTGGTGAAATCCCGCGGATGCCATACAGGCTTCGATGAAGATCTGCAAACCCTCGTCGTGGATGAGGACAAGTTGATGGATGAGGTCGAGAAAGAGATTGAGGACGGCGGAGGCCACGGCGGGTGGGTGATCGACTGGCATTCGACCGCGGGCTTTGCGGTACGGTGGGTGGATCTGGTGGTGGTGTTGAGGTGTGAAGAGACGGACGTGCTCTTTGACAGATTGACCGCAAGGGGATACAAGGACAACAAGGTGCAGGAGAACATGGACGCCGAGATCTTCGGGGTCGTCAGTGAAGAGGCGAAGGAGGGGTGGGAGGAAGAAGGGCAAGTCGTCGAGCTGAAGAGTGTCCACGCTGAAGATATCGAAGAAAACGCAGAGCGGATCCTACAGTGGGTGAAGAATTGGGTCAAAGATCATGCGTCGCCGGCGAAAGACGATTGAGAAGGACCCATTCTATCATGAAGATGTCTTCTGATGTTCCATGCCACTAGAGGTGTCTATATCTATGACTCTCGGAGGGCAGTGACGGCACCACATTCAAGGCTCGAGGTCACCGCCGGCGAGCCAGGCTTTCAGCTTGGCTAGCGCCTTGCCACGATGGGAGATCAAATTCTGCCCGGATCAGCCAGGGCTCCAGGATCGGACCAAGGAGAAAACATACCTTTTTCTCTTTCTCCATCTCGGCATACGTCTGACCGTCCTCGAATTCGAAGACCGCGTCCCACCCTGACGACCGACGGTCAGCTCGGGTTATTTTCAAAAGAAAACGGCGAGCACTGAACGGGCACGAGCAAGAGCATCATACGCACCAAAGACAGGCGGCCCTCTAGCCGGCACAATCTTCCCCTGACAACGACCTTGGAACAGGATTGGCTCGTGGTCGGGGCCCGCGCAGTACGCGAAGGTACACACGGCAAAGGCAGTCTTGTCTTCATATGCGGCGAGCATATTATTCAGGCCTTCGTGGCCGAGGGCTTGGAGGAAGTATTTTCTGCAATGACCGAGAAGTCGGCGGTCAGTACTTTGGCCCATGTGATATTTCGAGCCTTGAAGGACATAGAGTTCAAGGTTAAGAAGAACAAATTGTAACGAGCTCAAAGTTGAAAAGAACAAATTCATGACCGGGGCGGCAAAGAAAGTGCTTTGGAGGTCCCAGAGAACAGGGACTGAAGGCAGAAAGGGGGAGTCTCACATGTACGGCCCAGGTAGACCTTTTAGTGCTTGGAACTCGAGTGCCGTATCTTCCGTCAGAGCCGGGCCGTTGACCTGTGAGTTCAATGTCGTTAGAAGTGCCAGCAGTCTGTGCCCAACGCGCATGATAGCAGTTGTGAGGCCCTTTTTATCTCGGTACTCTGATCTAAAAACACTGCTTTTGCCTCTCTCCTGAGCTTACCACTCACCACCCAGCCGTACCAACAAAATCAAGATATAGACAAGAAAGACAAGAGACCTACCGCCCTCGCAGCCCTCGAGCACTTATCCCGTGCCACCTCCTCGATAGTCCCCTGAATCTCGACTCCCTCAACATTGCGACTCTGCAGTTCCAGGCCCGGCACTTCTGATAGGATCGCGCGCACCTCGTTCAACTTGTTCGCGTTGCCGGTGATGAAGTTGAGGAGTTTGGGCCGTGGTTGGTTGGCCATCTTTGGAAAGGGCAGGCAGACAATTACGGGATTGCAGTGGCTCTTTAATTGGCAGGAAATTCGTAAAATGGGTAATGTGGCTTATTCAGAAGTACAAAGTATGGATGAAGTAGGCTGCGACTTCCACTGCGCAGAAATTTGATGTGCCGGGATCAAGACAATCCAGGTATGCGGCGATTGGTGTTGGCGGTCGGTGCCAAAAGTGCTGAGCATCAATTAATTGAAGTCTACCTTTGTGTGGTGGGGATTCATATACGTCTCATGCGATAACAGTTAGATGTACGATGCGCGGACTTGCCCATGTGTCGAGAAGAAATGTCTCAGGCTGTTGGGAGTTTGCAGATGAAGTCACTGCAGTGAGTCATGAGGTTACGATAGAGCGACATGGCTTGACAGTCCAGGCGTTTGACATGAGTGCGGCATCAATATGTGCTAAGGAGCGCCTGTATGAGAAAAGCATGCTGTCGATTGTCCACCCTCTATGTAATGTCCTCGCCGAGACTATCGTGCTTGGTTGTGCTGATAATGCTGTCCTTCTGCGCCGAGCAGCAGTCTGTTCTACTGTAATAAAACCCACTAACCCCGTCGCTGTGCATACCAAAGATCCTCCCCTAACACCGCATTCGAACGAATTTCCTACTGTCATGCCTACCTGTGGCCTCCCTAATGCATGGTGCTGTACTGGATCAATGCCGGTGGTGTCCAATCTGGTCCCTCACTTCAGTTTAAGCAGCTCGAACTCCTTGTACTTTTCCAAGTACTTCTCGCCTCGCCGGTGAGCCTTCATCAGTTTTTCGGGCTCAGGACTCCTAAAGGCGGTCGTGTTGGCCAAAGCCAGCTTCTTGAGTGCAGGGCTTGGATTGAACATAGGGTCGAAAACCACGAGATTGACAGAACCGTCCAATCTCTGTTCCACCCCGACGATGGTCATAGAATGACCGTGATGCTGGAAGTAGATCGGTGGCTTGTCGGTGATGACTACTTTGTCGATATTATCTTTGGTTGAGTCGTCGTCAAAGTACTCGCAAACGGCACACAACATTGTTTCAAAGCCCTCCACTTCCTTGGTGGTGGTGTACGCAGTCGCCTCGCAAGGAATTTTCAGACTCATCAGCAGTGCTTGCGCCTCGGGGGTGCCTATGTATTTTCGGGTGTACCTGATGCCTCCGGTCTCGAGCCGTCCACTGGCGTTGAAGCCTTGGTCCCAGGCGTTCTCGATCAGTTCCTGTAGTTTCGGTATCGATGGCAACCTTCCACGGAAGTGTTCCGAGCCCGTGGCGTCTGCATCCTGAATGTAGGATATCATCATCTGAATATTCCGATACCCGCAAAACCCCCCTTCCTTCTGCATCTTGCATACGTGGCGCACTTCAGGACTGCAGTAGAACGCACGTTCGACAACCTCGTCCAGGTGAGACAATCGGGCAAGAACTGGCACAAGGTTTGGCGTTTCGTTGGCAACGGTCTCGACTCGAATTACGGTACCGTCTGGGCCAAGTTTGTTAGTGACTGTGACCTTCGCACCCTCCTCGAGCATTTTCCGCAGCCAATTCGGCATCTGGTGCTCGTGCGCGTATGGCCCTAGCTCTGATCTCTGTCAATTATTAGCCTTCCTGTCTGACAGCAGGTAATTATGCTAACACTCACCCCCAGCCGTCTAGTCCTACCATGCTTTGAAGACACGGCCGAATACGCTGACTTCCTCTTGGGAGACGCAGGTGTGCCCAAGAAAATCTCCTTAAGAGAAGGGCCACGTCCTTTTTCCGTGTGTGAAGGAGGTCTGCGGGGCTGGAGCTGATCATGGTTCCGAAGCGACTTAGGGATATCGGTGCTGAACGAGTTGGAAATATCGGGTAGCGACGGCCGGGACGTCGACTTCAAAACTGATAGCTCCACATCCTTAACCGGTATCTGAGGCTCGTCGATAGAAATGTCCTCCTGAGCATGCATATCGGAATGGGCATCGAGCTCGAGAAAGTGCACACGTTCGCCACAGGCACACTGAACCCATGATTGTTCGCTACCTGGAGGGGAGGGCAAGGTAGTCTGCCCATTTTGCACCGCTCTTTCTGACTTGTGGTTCTCACATCGGGCAGGAGCACTGGGTCGTTCAGATAGAGCAAGTTCGGTAGGTAGACCTGCCTCCTCAAAGGCGAGAAGCTGCGCCAGTTCTGCATCACTCATCTCGGCCGAAGGGTGGTCAGGCCGGGGTCCCCCGTTCGGGTCGGGCTGTGGATCAGCATGGAATTGCTGCACGTGCCCTTCGAGAGTGCCGAAGTCATGGCTTCCAAATCGGCAGAATGGGCACGCCAGACATTGTTGCTGAGTTTGATGTGACATCTTCGACGACCAAAAGTTCTGGAATGAAAGTTGAAGGAGTCGGCTGTCAGAGCCTCATCTTGTCCTGGCACAGTTTGGATGTAGGCAAACAAGGATAGTTCACCCGGAGGCGTGATTTCACTTGCAGACCGAGCTGTTCTACTTTGCTTGTCCCGGGTGAAAGAGAGCGGAACTGGGGCAGCTTTCACCAGGGTCTTGGCTGAAAGACGCAATGCACAAGACGTCTCAGTCGCGGAGCGGTCATATAGGAAAGAAAGGCTGGGGTAGGCTGAAGGTGGGCGAATCGAAAGGCTGTTTGCACTTCTGAAGTTGACAGGAATGTCGCCATGACTCCATCGAAAAGATTCCGGCCCGGGCTCTGGCTCTTCTCAGTCAGCACAAAGACTACATTCACCTTGGTTTCATGATCTGCTGGCCTGCCTGACACATGGGGTGCCGCCTGCGGTGCCTGTTTCTCTACGAGAACGAGGTGTTCACCCTCGCTCGTACCCAGTCTTGCATCACAAACAACGGGCCAACGAGCCCTTGAAATGACCAAGCTGCATCGAGTCATGGTGGTAAACTGGCACGCTGACAAGCCAAACACGGGCACCACCACCAGCGCCGCCAGTGCAACTACGAGCGGATGACGCCAGCGATTCAGCGGCAGTTTATTCGCCGATTTCGCAGCACACCACCTGCATTCGGATGCTGATCGCACTCACCGCCCTGGGAAGCCCCTCGAGAATTTTCAAAATTCTGCCATCGGAAGTCTTGTGTGCTGGGGCCAGACGCTCCGGGAGCGCCTGCGCGAGTGGGATGGAACTACTGTACCACTACCACCGAAGACTCATCCAAACTGACTCTGACCCCGTAAAATGGTCGCTCCCGGCTCGAAGTCGTCTGCGCAGAGTCACTCACTTCCGTTTGCTGTAGCTTGCTGTCCTTGCTTTCCTCCTACACCTGCTCGATTGAGAGTACTATGCACATAAGTCATCTGTCGTCGAATTTTCTCTCCTCATTATGACTCCCTCGACACTCCCTAATGGCGTCCACCCACAGCTACCTATTCTTAATAGAGTCAATGGGACCAGCACACCCAGAGTCCGACCCATCCATGTCCTGAAGTTCGGGGGTATGCAGCTTCTCCCTCCATGTCCAGCCAGAGTCTGACTCATTTCCCGAAGGGACCAGTGTGGGCAAATTCCCCCAAGATATTGTCAAAGTGGTCAAATCCAGGTTACTAGAAAACAATGTCGCTATCGTCTGCTCCGCTGTCAGTTTTTATCCCTATCGTTGCGTAACGGTAGACTGACAAGCGCACACAGAGATCAAGTAGCACGAAAGCCGCGGGCACCACGAACCGCTTACTGCGAGCCGCCACTGAAGCCGAGAACCACCGGGATTTCCAGCAACTAGTGGAGAATGTCCGTCTAGACCACGTCGAGGCTGCCGATACCTTCGTACAATCGGAAAAGATACGGTGGCGGTTAAAGGCAGAAATTGACGATGAATGCGCCCTGGTCGTGCGCATACTCGAAGCGGCGCAAACATTGGGCGAGACCAGCCCAAGGTCAAGAGATAAAGTCATGAGCACGGGGGAGAAGCTAAGCTGCCGGTTCATGACGGCGCTGCTACAAGATCGCGGAATCGACGCCGAATACGTCGATCTGGCAGATGTGATTGATTTTAGGGTCTCACACGGCCTGGACCAGCAATTTTACGACGACATGGCCTCGAGACTAGCCAGACGGTTGCGCGACATCCCGACAGGCACAGTTCCCGTAATCACTGGATACTTTGGTGCCATACCTCGGGGTCTGCTCACCACCGTTGGGCGGGGATACACAGACTTATGTGCGGCGCTGGTCGCGGTGGGAATCAGGGCCGAGGAGTTACAGATATGGAAAGAAGTGGACGGCATTTTTACAGCTGATCCGCGCAAAGTACCTACAGCACAACTTATCCCCCAAATCAGCCCGGCAGAAGCTGCGGAACTCACCTTTTACGGCTCCGAAGTCATCCATCCGTCTACCATGGACCAGGTTATTCGGGCGCGGATACCCATACGCATCAAGAACGTGATGAATCCCCGGGGAGGAGGCACCATCATCTATCCCGACACACCATCAGAGCTAGACTCGTCGTTGTCAGGCCATGACCCCAAGCTTTTCCGGCGTTCCAGGAGTTCCAGCCTCATCACAGACCGCGAGAAACCGAAGCGCCCAACAGCTGTTACCATGAAGCACAAGATTTTGGTCATGAACATTCACTCCAACAAAAGGGCGCTGTCCCATGGGTTCTTTGCCGGGATCTTCTCGACGTTGGATAAGTGGCGACTATCAGTGGACGTCATCTCTACGAGCGAGGTCAACATGTCCATGGCATTACATTCGGAAGCTCCTCTATATACTGGAGGAGGCGACGATGAATACCGCATTGTCGATCAAGACCTGAGAGGAGCTATCGAAGAACTCAAAACTTACGGTACCGTGGATATCATCCCGGAGATGGCCATCGTGAGCCTTGTGGGCAAAGAGATGAAGAATATGGTTGGCATTGCTGGCAAGATGTTCTCCACGCTGGGTGCAAATAATGTGAACATCGAAATGATCTCACAAGGTATGTTAAATGGCTCTCAAACCGTAGGCCTGGTTGTGCTGACCTTCGAATAGGCGCCAGTGAGATCAACATCTCCTGCGTAATTGAGGAGCGGGACGCCGATCGAGCGCTCAACATTCTGCACACAAATCTATTTACTTTCCTCGGCCCATGATTGTACCTTGCGAGCAACTTGAGCGGCCGTTATTGCATTCACAGGAGCTTTGGGCCTGAATATGGCTACCCAAAAGGAGGCGGCAAAAGTATGGATATTGGTAAAAGGGCAGGCTCTTTCTGACTGGTCGATGCACCTTGCGACATGCTTACTGGTTTGGCGGCACCGGCAGCGTGTATAGAAACGTCATGTGGGCGCTGGAAATGATTAGAGGGGATGATTCCAACAATCGAGGCTTGACTTGAGGAAGCACTGCGGCGATGATAGATGTCAGTCGGGAGAATCCAACTTCTTCTACGATATGGCAGACATCAAGCGGTGCCCATCATAACCATATCTAGAGAGGATCAAGATGTCGGAAATACGCACAATCGAAGATTACACTTTGATTAATCTTAAGATACAATAAATTTCTTGAAAGAGTCAATGCACGTGAGAGGCTCAGCAGGTGTGAATCAAGCAGCACTCTCGGGACCATAATGTTCCGTTCCGCGATGCCAAACGCGCTAGGACCGGGGTGATTGCACTCATGTGAGGGCGCGTTTTGTTGAACAGCCTTCCGCCAATGAAACTGACTCTCGGTGCATTGTCCCGCAACTCAATGAGACACACAAGAAAATGAGCGGACGTGCCACGTCAAATGGCCCGCGGTCATGGTCGATCGAGATGTCGATGATTGGACATGGTTCAGAGAAGCCAAAGGCCCGACCAAGCGCGAACTCCAAGTGTCCAGGCATCGAGGCGTCCTGGTAGCGCCGATCGCGGCGTGGGTCAGACGCGCCTCTGTCGCGTTCTTTTCTTGCTTCTTGCTTCTTGCTTCTCGCTTCATCCCACCTGTCACCTGTCGCCTTTCAGTAGGCTGTGGTGGTTGATTTCTGACGCATCCCACTTCCGTCACTCTTCTCCGCTTCCAACGAACTTCTGCGCCTGTCCGACCTGCCATTTTCCAGCTGTACTCCTCTTAAGAACTTGGCTTGCCGCCCGCCTCCATGTCTTCCATCCCACACACATGCTCGACTCCGGCTGACATCGACTGACGCGGTTTTCAGCATCGAGTAAACAACACTTTTTCAGCATCCAAGCGCGGTCTACTTCACACGATGGCCTCTCTGACTCGGTAGTCATCGTTCGATAACCACTGTGTATCCCTTTCGACGGTTCAGCATTGAATACCGGCCCCCTTCGATCTGCAGCACCGCACAAACGCGGCCTCGATCTTCCGGCCTCCCGCACAGACACACCCATACCTCTACCCACCTCTTAGTCTCGATTATTACACTTCGCCAAAGTCCATCAAATCTCGTCTCGCCCTTTTTCAAAATCGAGACCCCCCTTCGAAGGTGCAGTGACCGTCTGCTCGAGGGTTTGAGGCTCTGGGCTCAACTTAGGCTGCATCTTCACCCGCCCCATGACTGCTTCATGGGACATAGGAACTTCGTGACGACGCGACTTTCACGCACCTCTCTGCCTATTAGGTGTATCTGATCAGTTTCCACGACTCGTCGCCATGGCGTCGACGCGTCCGCATCCTTTAGTACAGATTTACCAAGATCCAATGCCACCTCCACCTACCAACGTGTCTCCTGTCGAGAAGCCACCACCACGCCTGCAACCTTCAGCTATGCCCCTTCAGCCCATGAGAAATCCTCCGGCTGCATCTCGCCATCCTGCAGTGATTCTGGCTGCTCCGATGGCTCCGTGCCATCAATTCTCGCCGCAGAAGACCACAACACTGTCACCTTCCAGACCCTACTTCGGAGATCTCAACTATGTCCCTATCCCTCCACCCCCGGTAGCCAACCATAGCCACGCCGGGTCACCAACCAAGAGAACTGCGATGCTGCATAGTCAGCCACCTCGCCCGGCTCAGATGGTACAGCCAATGTTCACCACATTCAACAGTAATTTCGACACCTATGAACAAGAAAACTTTCCTGCACCAACAACCCACGAGAATTTCGTCGACTTTCCCGAGCCCTCCTACCCTCGTAAGCAGCCTATGAAGAGATCGTACTCGGACGCGCAGTTGTCGCAGGATCGACCCTTCAAGAAGACGCGACAAGACGAAGAGTTGACCTTCCACCTGCCGAAACCGGAAGACATGATGCCTGTTGAGGACGACGGCAACAAACCTCCTTACAGTTATGCGCAAATGATTGGCATGGCTATCTTGAGAGCACCAAATCGACGTCTAACGCTGGCACAAATCTATGACTGGATTTCAACCACATTTGCCTACTACGCGCGAGACACCAAGCAAAGCTGGCACAACAGCATCCGACATAATCTATCATTGCACAAGGCCTTCACCAAGCAAGAGAGGCCGAAAGGAGACGCGGGGAAGGGCAGCTACTGGGTTATTGTGCCGGGCATGGAGGCACAGTTTATCAAAGACAAAAAACCGAGAGGAAATATGCTGGCACCAATGTATAACCTTCCCAGTGCGGTTCGCCCGCAACCCCAGATTGCCCAGCAGCTGTCGGAAGCGCTGGCACCAAATGCCTACCTCGGTCAGTCAAGTGAGCCTCCTCGACCCCAAACAGCTCCTGCCTTGCCCGAGCTGTCCTCGGACGCCACGTTGCCAGCCTCAGACGCCGCCTTGCACGAGCATGAGACCGCCGACCTCGAGGACAGCGCCACTGCGCCAGCTCTGAAGTCGCCCCCACCAGATGCAATCAACTCTTCCCCACCTGTGGTCGTGTCGAACCATCACAGAGCCATCTCTTCGCCTTCAGCTCGCATGCCGCGCTCGGCGGCGTCTCATCGGCAAGCTCAAACCCTCACCAAGAATGACGACAGTGGATACTTCTCCTCCATCGAATCTTCGGCTCTGAAGCCAAACAAAAATACCGTCGTGCTAACCTCAGAGCTGGACATTGAGCCAATGAGGAAGAAGAGAGGCCGTGCCGAAGAGGAGATAGTTCGCATCCGAAGCTCTTCTCACGACCTGACTCCTAGTCACGCCAGATTCCGACCTTGTACCGCCGAACCTCCACCGTCGTCTTCTCCTGTTCGAGTCAGTCCAGCCGTCACAATGAACCCAATGACTCCTGCAGTGGTCTTTAAGAAGCCGATCCGTCCTCCACCTTCAGTCTCGCCGAACACACAGCTCCTGCTGCATCGCAAGGCAATGCGCGAGTTTGCCAATTCACCCATCAAGGGTTCTGGCCTCTTCATGTCAGATGACACAGGCTACAGTCCTCTTAAGTGGCCGAGCCTGGCAGCAAGTGAATTGCCTGAAAGCGCTTTTGAAATCTTCTCGGACCCGGCCATTGGGCTTACTCCGGCGACACCACCATTTGCCTCCTCACCCCTTAAGCGACCATCGGTCGCACGTGCAGTTACCTCGACCGACGTCCTTTCCGACGTTTTCAGCCATGGCTACAAGCTAAACGCGAAGACGCCCACTCGTGGATCCCTTCTCAACCCTCGCGTTCGAGCTACCCAAAATGGGTCGCCGGTGAAAGGCTCGACCGCCCATATTCAGATCCTTGATCAGGTCGACGACCTCTTCGACTTCAAGTCGTTTGAGAACGATAATTCCGACGACAATGATGAAGGCGTCGACATCCTGCAAGGCTTCGAAAAGATCGGTGTGCCCAACGCTGCCATGAAGAGTGAACAAGGGGGACGTCCATCTTTGGGTCGCAGTTTCACTTCACGCTTCTAATTTGTGTTCATGTACTTGAATGACGATTGCTCACTTCTGTCAGCTGGGAGGAACGGCGCTTCATGTCGACTCTTTTTGTCTTAGCACTACCAGATTGTTGGAAATTCTGGCCACAGCTCCGAATGTCACGGCGATCCACATACGATCGACGGTGCGGGCTGGTTGGGCACGCAAGGTCTCTCCTTTTTCTCAGTGTCCGCGGAGAGACCCTACTCGTACGATGTTAAGAGTTTATGACTTGGCTTCCATGCCATTCTTGCTATGATGATATGGGATTGTATGACAGAATAATGGCGACTGTTACCTCGATACAGGCGCATGCCTTTGCAACGAGGCCTAGATACTTCAGCAGCAATGCAATGAATCTTCTCCATCAAGGCGAGCAGAGAGCACATTCTCGCTTTCCCTCTGGCGTAGTTCGGTCTTTTCATGGTCCCTGTCGTCAACACAACGTCTGTATGAGGTGCTTGGCGCAAGCAACAACATCCCCTTGCAAGACGCCCTACTCTCACGAGGTCGACAGCCACGACATTGAACCATGGGTCGATGTTCCAGGAAATCACACCACCGTCCAGTGTCAACGAGAAGGGCGTGTCGCCAGCCTCGCTGCATGCTGAGTCATCCGACATAAGAGGCAGATCTCTCTTCCAATCACTTGCATGACAAAGTAATCGAGCGCAGCTAAAGGACGACCTGCACGTTCTCCACGTCGGGAAGCAATTGAGGATAAGAGCACGTCCTTCCTGTTCCATGTCTTTTGGCATGAATACGAACAGGATCCGTCGGGTGGTCAGCAGTGGTTCGCTTGTCCGGTCGATCTTCAGACCTTGGACAGCGGCAGACACGAAGCGAGCAGCCAGAAGGGGTGGATACACAACACTACGCCCGCACCGCCGACATCCCATGTCAACGCAGAGCGGCCGCCGACCGTTCTCTCAATCGCTACTGGATCAAGCACAAGCTGCGGGGCTTACGGGGGGTCGAAGAAGAACAATGAGTCGACGCACGCCTATCGAGTCGCAGCGGGTCGATGCACCGCTCACGCAGTCGGCGACGTTTCTCGTGCTGTCAGTCACGGAACAGCCTGGTGCCATCAAGACGGCGCGCTCGGCGCTCGCCAGCGTCGACGATCTCAGCAAAAACGTGTCGATCCGCGATCTCGATGCCTCGTTTGCCTGCACCGTCGGCGTCGGCAGCGACATCTGGGACCGTCTTCTCCCCGACGTGGCCCGGCCGGCGGAGCTCCACCCGTTTCCCAAGATCGAAGGCAGAGTCCACACCGCGGTGTCTACGCCGGGCGATCTGCTCTTCCACATCCGCGCGCAGCGCCGGGATCTATGCTTCGAGTTCGAGCGCCAACTCATGGATTTGCTCGGTGATAGCGTCACGGTCGTCGACTCGACCGTGGGATTCCGCTACTTCGATGTGCGCGACCTGCTGGGGTTCGTCGACGGCACGGCGAACCCCGTGGGCCCGGCGGTCAACGAATCCGTGCTGATCACCGAGGCCGACGACTCCAACTCGGCGGGCGGAAGCTACGTGGTCATTCAAAAGTACGTGCACGATCTCGCGGCGTGGAAGACGCTGTCCACGGAACAGCAGGAGGCGGTCATCGGGCGGCGGAAGTTCGACAACGTCGAGCTGGCAGACCAGGACGACGACAAGCAGAAGCCGCACAAGCAACTCGCCACGATTGAGGATCCGCATAGCGGGGCGGAGCTCTCCATCCTCAGGGACAACATGCCGTTTGGGAATGCCGGGCAGGGCGAGTTCGGCACGTATTTCATCGGGTATTCGAGGAAGTTGTGGGTCATCGAGCAGATGCTGGAGAGGATGTTTGTAGGCAGTCCGCCGGGGTTGCATGACCGCATATTGGACTACTCACGGGCTTTGACGGGGACGACCTTCTTCGTGCCGAGCGCGACCGTGCTCGCTGGGCTGGGGGATGATTGAGTGTGGAGGAAAGGAATGGGCGTGTGTTGTTTGAGAGTCGGACCATCGTAGGCGTTCGATGTCTTGGATGGTCGCCGGCGCGAGAAAAGGCTTGAAAGAGTCATCAGCATTACAGTACTATATACGTGATACCTAGACTTAACAATGGTCAGAGGAGTGATACGTCGTGTTGGTCAACAGAATGTTGTGCATACCAGACGCTCAGGCTTCGGCTCATCTTCGGCCATTTTCACCTCGAACCTTTCTCGCTTTTCTCTTCCGCAACGCTGCACGTCGCGTGCTGGATTGAGGAGTTTGTACGCTGCGATTTGTAGGTTGACCTGCCAGTCAGCGGTGGTGAAGCTTCGCCCACACAAGGGTCGCCGTCGCAGCGTCCGAGTTGCCCTCGTGAGAAGATGTCGACACCGCGCTGTCTGCGCGTAGCTATTGAAGCATGTCGACCGCAGAAGGTATGATCCATCCAACCCTGTCAGCAGAAATCACCCTCTCTCAACGTCTACTTTTGGCATTGCTGGCTCATTCTGAATTCCTGATCAGACTGCTACAATTTCCCTCCGTCCTCGATTTGCGGCCCCGTCCCAGAAGGTTCGGACGACGTCCACACGACCATTCTCGAGCACCAGGTCGCGCAATGACAAAGACAATAAGAACAAGCCTGGGGAGGCGCAGACTGGCCCTATCGATATCACGGCCGGATTCTCCATGCCAGAACCGGGGTCCATCACAATCTCGGAACCGATCAATCTTGAAAAGTCCACAGAAGAAGACAGCATGGAGCATCAACGTCCCGGCGGCAAGCCAAAGCACACAGCAACCTCCATACACACGGAGACGGTCAAGCCAGCGATTGTATCAGAGGCTCGAGCGCAAGCCTTACAACAGTCGTCGGCGTCGGCACCGCCCACACGAACCACAAAGTCCTCAACTCTGGCAGACGTCCCTTCTCCGTCCCGTCAATCCTCGAAATCTTCACCTCTCGCCTCCTCTGCCGAGTTCGCCCCCGCAGCCCCGTTCCTCGACGAGAACACAAAGCCCAATGTGCCTCCCAACGTGCTCGCGGCCTACCGCACCCCTCTCTACCACCCTTTGACCCACGGCATCCCCGTCGCGCAATTACAGCTGCGCTCTTTCTCCACGCGAAACCTCGAGTTCTTCGCCGACTTTTGCGTCCGTGCCGCATATTACCTCTCCCTCCCTTGTACAGGGCCCACGCCCTTGCCCAAGAAGATCGAACGCTGGACCGTCCTGAGGAGTAATTTCGTGCACAAGAAATCGCAGGAGAACTTTGAAAGAATCACAATGAAGAGGCTGATCACGGTCTACGATGGCGCCCCCGAGGTGGTCGAGACGTGGCTGGCCTTTGTGCGACGCTGGCAGTTTTACGGCGTGGGCATGAAGGCGAATGTGTGGGGGTGGGAATCTACAGGTACGTCTCTTGTGCTCTCGTCTCGCGCCTCCCCGTTCCTGTGTGGTCACGATTCCCCCATGCTGACATGGCTCGGTGGTTATAGACGTGGCGTCGAAAATGGACGCCGACTTCTCGAATCTCGAAAAGGAGCTCGACGACAAGCTACGGCTCTTTGGGTTCAACAAGCACGTGGCCGCCAAGCGGAACTTGTTGGGCTTGATGGAACGGCAGCACCATAGGCGTGAGGGTGTAGGCATGAGTGAAGTCCGGGAGAAGGCCAGAGAGAAGGATCCGAATGATCCCAAGCTCGTGGCCCATTATTAGATGTGATATTTGGGAGCGAGGTTGTACGTGTATAAGCGGGAGAGGTTGAATATGCGTGAGGGTGAGAGGCTGAACGTGCGTGGAGGGCATGACGTGAAATCTGCCGGTAAAGGAGCGAGGTGTTGCCACGTCCGCCGTGCCTTTCATCCGAGGAAAAGAGTGGGCAACGGATTGGTCTCGCAACTGTCCAGAATCGATGGGACGAATGGAACGAGACGGAGTGCAGTCAGCGGTACCCCGAATGGACACCGTGTCTGTATACTGTATAAAACATACATTTATGGCGCCCAGAGTACTTGTGAAGGATCCGTCATGCACTTTATCAGAGTGACCAGTGTGAGGATCGTACACCGCATCATACGGGGACGAATATGAACGTCATGCCAGAAGGGTCGAGACGAGAGAAGAGGAGAGGAGAGGGAAGAAGAGAAGAAAGGACAGGTATCAAAGAAGAGGGGGGGGGAGGGAGGGAGAGATAGGGGAGGGAACATGCATGCGCTCGCTGTCGAAGTCCCGCGATCAACAGGCTTCAAGAATTTCACGATGATGCCCGTACAGTACATTATTCCCAGGTCCTGCGTCTGACTGGGCTGGGCAGGCTCGACTGGGCTGGGCAGAGCAGGCGAGGAGAGGACACGATGCTAGAATGTGAGAAAGGCCGGGCAGGGCAGCATGCGTATGGAGTCCAGCGTACAGGAGTCCAGCGTACAGTACAGCACCGAGTAACGTATGTACCCACCTACGTATCTATAGGACAGAACCGTCGCTTCTCCGTCGTATGTAGATATATCCTGGGGTGGTGTATGTATATATATATGTATGTATGTATGTATGTATGTATGTATACTCCGTACTCCTCCAGGAGACGGATGATCTACTACAGTATAGTAACCTAATTACTGTACTTCAGTTTCCTCTGCCACTGTCCGGTTGCCTTGCGACTGAGGGAGTAACTCGTACTGTATGCTGAACTTGCCTAAAATTCCTCACTTATCCCAGCTATACGTTTGCTTATGGTACTTTCTGGACATGTAGATGCATGGGCTCTCGCAGCGTCGTTACAGGTAGACAAAGCCCATACCGTACTAGACCGCCGTCACTTGATTGCGTTCAAAAAGTGGTGTTGAGGCATACGGTACGCAGTACTCGAAACCACCTATATAGTCTCCTACATAGTCTCGAGGACTCACTACGTATGTATGCATGCGTGATCCATTTACCGTCCTATATCTTCAACTTCAACTTCGACTTTGACTTCGACTTCTACTGCCATGCATCTATATATACCTAGGCGGGTGGGTAGGTAGGCGCACAGACCGGCAGACCGGCATACGGTCCCAAGTCAAAGTTCTAGGTTTATAGCGAGCGAGCATAGACCTGGATCGAATCAAGTAACAACGACGTTTCCAGCGGCGGTAATTGTACGTTCCACCGAGAGCGAGATATGGGAGGACCGAACCGGAAGCCTTAAGACTCCAGTGTCTCTTTTGGTCTATTCTGCTCTGCTCTGCTCTGCTCGGAACAGTATGTAACTCCGCGGCCGGTCCGCTGTCGAGCATGGGACAACGGATGGATGACTGTGCTTATACTCTAGAGCTTCGTTCATTAATGCGTCAGCCTTGCTACGGTACTTTGTACTCGTACTCGACCTCTCATTTGACAGGCCGCCTTGATTTTAACGTGGACGATGCCTCCGCGGGTCGGCGACACGCCGGTCATGTATATATATCATTGGCCCCCTTGACTTCCCTCTTGGGATAAGCAGCAAGCACAGCGCCGGCAGATCCCTGTGTGCAGCCTCCTGCGTGCATACTCCTGCGTGCATACTCCTGGTTGGGTGTAAGAATCCAGTATTCCATATCATGCATTAACGAGCCCATGAGGAACCCGATGATGGGCTCGAAAGTCAGCGCTACTGCTACTGCTACTGCAACAGCGTATGTCCCTCTGTAACTGTGGTTCACTGCGATGGAAGTCGTAGAGGGAAAGCCAAGGAATTGTTCCGCGGTGCCATCTCCGCTCGGCTGGGAGCCCCAGAGTACACCGCAGTAGACGTGGATTTTGTGGGGGTGATAGTCCTGCGTCGTCCAATGGGACCTGCATTGTCGTCGACTCAGCGTATAGAAGGCAACGTGGTGGCCTCGGGCCCAACGAGTCAAATGTGGTACCTGTGGTCTGGAGTGGCGTGGAATAATTCCATACTGGGCGTATATATGGTATCCTAGAGATATAGGTCGAATCCCGCCATTTTATCCGACCATTGCTTGTAGAATCCACACCTTGTCATACTGTATTCTGTCTCGCGGTCGAATTCAGCTGGATCAAAACTCGGCATCATGTCACCGGGTCGGATACTCGAACAGGACGAGTACGATTTCATCGTCTGGTGCGTCTCCCCACAGCCTGTTCTTCCCCCATACAGTACTGAGCCATGACAGTGGCGGAGGCACAGCTGGCTGTGTCGTGGCTGGCAGGCTCGCTGAAGACAGCAATGCTCGGATTCTCCTCGTCGAGGCAGGTCCTCACAATAAGGATCTCGAGAATGTCCATATGGTCGGAGGGTGGTCGAAAAACTTCGACTCTGAACTGGACTGGAATCTCGTCACACCTCCTATGAAAGGTATCGACGGTAGACAAGTGAAACTCAGTCGAGGGAGGTTCCTGGGCGGATCCAGTGGTGTCAATGGAACGTTGTGCGTAAGAGGCAGCAAGCAAGACTATGACGACTGGAAGTACGGACCACCTTGCTCTCACCCGACATAATTGGTTGCTCACTCCTCTAGTCTTCCCGGATGGTCGGGTGAAGAATTCTTCGAGTACATGCGGAAGGTGTGCAGGATTGAATCGAGCGTGAGTGTCCGTGGCTGATGATAAACAGGCCGAGACGTTCCACAACAAGCCATGGTTCAAAGCAGACGAAAAGGCACACGGTTACGACGGACCACTACATACCGAGCCGCACGATCTGGCACCCATTTCCGAATTGTTGTTGAAGAGTATGGAAGATAAAGGTCTTCCCCTGGTGCCTGACATGTTCAGCAACGGCGAGACCGCCCATGGCAGTGGACATGCTATCCGGACCGGTACGTGTTGTGCAACACGTTCCTGTAGTAGTGGTATTAACACTCTTTGCGAAGTTCACAAAGGTATCAGAACCACAGGTGCCGACTTCGTGACCAACGATTACCATAGACAGAACATCGATCTGGTCGTTGAGACCGTTGTCGACAAAATCAACTTTGAAGAGAGAAATGGCCAATTACAAGCCGTTAGTGTCGTGCTCGTTGACAAGAGCGGCGAGAAGAAAACAGTACAGGCCAGGAAGGAGATTATTGTCTCGGGAGGTAACGCTTCGGCAGGCCACGCTTTTGCTGAACATGACTGACTTTTGAAGGCGCATATTGTTCTCCTGCTATCCTCCTTCGGTCCGGGATCGGTCCAAAAGCCGAGCTGGAACAGTTGGGAATCAAGTGTCTTGTAGATGCACCGGGAGTAGGAAAGAACTTACTGGATCACCTGGTGAACGACGTCCACGCCATCGATAGCTTCATCCACTGACTAGGCACAGATCGTCTTTGCATTCTATGAGGTTATCAAGGACGGCCTGACAAACGACCATCTTGTGTACGAGACCTCCATCGGATGCGGAGACTCCTTCTGACCGGATCGCAGGTATCACGGCGACGCTGCTATGGCCGCGTATATGCTGTACAAGGAGAAGAAGGAAGGCGTTCTCTCCACATTTCCCTTTGGCGCGTTCGCCTTTGCGAGACTCGATGAGCGTCTCAAGGACGACCCATTGTGGCAGGAAGCGAAGAGGGAGGCCGGCCGTGATCCAATGGGCTTGACCTCCAAACAGCCGAATGTCGAGTTTTTCACCACTGAAGTACGTCGTCGAAAGTCGTGACCGCAGAGGGAAGTGCCCTGCTAACGTCGCGAAGCTGTATGGCGGACCTAAGCAGTACGACAAATATCCCATCGGTGAGTTTTGAGCGGCCGAATTTCACAGTGACAGGTTGACCATCTGTTTCCAGATAAGAAGCATGCCTTTGCGATGATCACGGAACTGTTTTCACCGCGCTCCAAAGGCACAGTGACGTTGAAATCCGCAGACCCGCTGGAGAATCCTGTTGTGGACTGCAACTACCTTTCTGACCCTATCGACCTGCTGGTGCTCACCGAAGGTTGCAGGCTCGGAAATGAGATTGCTATGAACGTGAATAAGGTCGCCGGGGAAGAGGTTGTAAAAGGGTCATGGCCATCGGGTATGACGCGGGGGCAGCACAGTTAGAGTACCACACTGACCAAGGCTACAGATTTGACGCACCATGCTTATACAAAGCGCGAAGACTGGATCCCGTACGTCAAGCAGGAGGCCACCACCTGCTACCATGCCGCAGGGACCTGTAAGATGGGCCGGGCGGACGATAAGATGGCAGTCCTGGATGAGAAGCTTCTGGTCCGTGGTGTCCAGGGCCTCAGCGTAGCTGATACTAGCATCATGCCTACGTTGCACGGTGGCCACACTCAGATGCCAGCGTAAGGATGTCGCCTCTGGACCGCGGTGAACGGGAGCTGACACGTTGCAGATACGGCATTGGCGAGAAAGCGGCTGACCTGGTCAGGGGAAGATGGACAAAGGCGTAAGGAAGGAGGAAGAGTGACTCGACGGCGGAGGAGTAGAAATTACAAGTAGAGAGAGTAAAGAAGAGAGTAAACTGTGAGAACTGCCACCGATGTAGAAATTGAGGGAGAGCTCAACGAACGGTATTGCGCGTGTTTGTGACGGTAATAATACACCGATCTCGCCGCGCCGCTTCGTCTTGGCCCGTATTTCCCGTTCCTCTTAAAACTTCCTTCACGAGCATCACGTCGGGGACCTCGACCATCAATTCTATCATCCGACGTTGCTTCCTTGGGCCCCTTGCGTACTTTGAGTGCGCGTACACTCCTTTGCTAAATGAAATGCCACCCAGCCTCCGCCACGTGTTGACGAGGACGTGCAAGCCACACTGGGCTCAATCTCGCCATAGCAGCCGCATCCAAGGACCGCGGATTTTCAAGAGGCTGCCCTTGGACTTTTCCAAGCAGTCACAGTCGCCGGCTCGTACCCGCGTCGCTTCAGACGGGGAGGCCGAGGCCGATGATGATTCGATATACACTCAGTGGGCGCGAGTCTCGCCGACTTCGACAATAAGGAGATCCTTTTCCGGCATTCAGCCCACGGGGGTACCGCATCTGGGGAACTATCTTGGAGCCCTGCGGCAATGGAAACAGCTTCATGATCAAGCGACCAACCCCAAGTTCTCCGTCGACCATCACTACGAGCAATACTTCTCGGTCGTCGACTTGCATGCTTTGACCTCGGATGTTCCAGGCTCGGAGCGCTCGCGTCTGAGGCAGGAGTCGTATGCATCTCTTCTGGCCATCGGCTTGAACAATAACACGAACACTACCCTGTTCTTCCAATCCGATGTGAGCACGTTCGGTACCTGATTCACGGCATGCATGGCTCATCAGAACTCACAGGTCCCGCAACATGCGTCGCTGATGTGGATCCTGAGCACTATCGCATCTACTGGCTATTTGTCACGAATGACTCAATGGAAGGTGGGACAAGGTCGTTGATGGAACAATGACCGTATACAGTACTAACGGCATCTTCTGTAGAGCAAATTGAACCTGCCCGAAAACGCCAATCTCGACAGTGATGAGGCCACGGCAAAGCTCAAACTCGGATTATTTTCCTACCCTGTGCTCCAAGCGGCCGATATCCTCCTCTACCAGTGAGTTCCGACCTCGGTATCATCAGACATGGCATTTTTTGACATCGACCAGACCCTCTATTGTTCCCGTTGGGGAAGATCAACTCCAGCATATCGAGTTCACGCGGACGTTGGCTCGAGGCTTCAACGCCCATGTCAACCAGAAGATATTCCGACTACCATGGCCAGTAATATGTGAGTTCTCCCCCTGTCGATTCCTGCTCCCTCACCTTTGCTGACCAGAGCCAGCCCCGGCCAAGAGGATCATGTCTCTAAAACGACCGGAGCACAAGATGTCCAAATCCGATCCAGATCCAAAGTCGCGGGTGCTGATCACGGACAGTCCCGAGGAAATACATGCCAAAATCAGGGGCGCCGTAACGGACTCGGAACCGGGCATCTCTTTCGACCCTGAGCGGCGGCCTGGAGTCTCCAATCTGGTGGAAATACTCAAGCACGTCACCGAGTCACGAGAGCCTAGCGAGTTCATCGCCAAAGACAACGCCGACCTCAGCATGCGCGCTTTCAAGGAGTTGATTGCCGACGAAATCATTGCAGCACTGAGGGGCGTCCGCGAGCGATTTCTGGAACTCATGGCCGACAAGAATGAATACCGACTGCGCGACGAGATAGAAAACGGCGGCGCAAAAGCACGGCGGAAAGCGCGTCTGACCATGGGAGACGTCTCGCAGGCGCTGGGCTTGACCAACTTGGTCCTGACCCCAGAGGAGGCGGCTCGCATCCGGGAGCGGAGGCTGGAAATCGAACGGAGAGAGCTTGGAGCGGGCTTGGATTTGGAATTCAACCCATTTGAAAATGAGGGCCAGGACAGCGAGGACGAGTTCGCCGACGAAGAGGCCGACGAAGAACGGGACAAGAAGAGTACGCGGCGTCCCGTATAAGGGCTGCCGTAGGAGCCACGGTGCCAGCTCCGGGACCGCAAGGCTGAACCGCCGACGTCACACTCGCAGCCTCGTGCACCACAATCTATGTAACATTATTTCTCCGAGTCCCTCAAAGATACCCTCAGCTTCTCCTTTCACATACAGCTTGTTCCGTTCGTAAGGAAGAGCTACGAGTTCTCACCTACGCTCTCGTCTAGACTGTGAATTCTCTACCCATCACGCCGGAAGGGCAATGCGCGTTCCCCGTCTTCTCCACCGTGTCGCTGTCGCGCTTCCGAGCCCGCAACCCATCCCCGAGCTCTCACGCCGACAGCTCTCCAGCTCGCGCACGCTCCTGCGCCATGGAAAGCCGGCCGACGACGACATCGTCGAGCTGGCCTTCTCACGCCACGACCCGCCCGAGAAGACCAGCATGAAAGGACCGGGCCCCATCATCATCATGCACGGTCTCTTCGGGTCGCAGCGCAACAACCGCACCATGAGTAAGTAAGCAGGCCTCCTCCTCCAGAGCTTCTTTTTTCTTTTGTGCGCGCGGGGGGTGGGCGCGATGATCAAACTCTTCCTCGCTAGCTGGCTAACTAACTGTCCCTTCTCTGCCTTTTTTACAGAGCCTTAGCCAAAGACCTCTCCCGCCCGGTGTACAACCTCGACCTGCGCAACCACGGCGCGAGCCCGCACTCGCCCACACACACCTACGCAGCCATGGCGCGCGACGTGGAACACTTCCTGGCGAGGCACCAGATCCGCGACCCGACGCTGATCGGCCACTCGATGGGCGCCAAAGTGGCCATGACGCTGGCCCTGCGCCAACCGACGCACTACTCGGCGCTCGTGCCCGTGGACAACGCGCCCGTCGACGCCGCGCTCGCGGGCGACTTTGCCAAATACGTGCAGGCGATGCGCGAGATCGAAGAGCACAGACCGCCGCTCAAGAGCCAGAAGGACGCGGACCGCGTCCTCGCCAAATACGAGCCCGACCTGGCCATTCGCCAGTTTCTGCTCACCAATTTGGTCAAGACCAACGATACACATACGAGTACTGCCGCGCACGAGCACCACCGATCTCACGGCGGCACTTCTTCACCCGGCAGTCACGAGACGCAGCCGCACCCGCAGCCGAAGCCGCAACTGAAGTTCCGCATCCCCGTCGCCACGCTGGCCAAGAATCTGGCCAACATGGCGGATTTCCCGTTCAAGGATCCCCAAGCGAATCAGTACAAGGGACCGACGTTGGTGGTCAGGGGCACCAAGAGCCACTACGTCGCGGACGAGACCTTGCCCGTCATTGGCGCGTTTTTCCCGCGCTTCGAACTGCTCGATGTCGACTGTGGGCACTGGGTCATGAGTGAGCGGTTCGACGAGTTTCGCAGGGGCGTCGCCGAGTTTATGACCAGGGTCGTCGATGAGCAGTAATCTCTCTTCTACGTAATAGTAGGAGTTGTGATACAGAGGGATAGAATGGCAGTCAAGTGGAAAGGCGTGGGAGCGGGCTGTAGTATATTACCGCCGCGTCTACTGAGGATAAGCTGCCATAGAGATCCTGTAGCGGCTGTGATACGGAGGGATAGAATGGCAGTCAAGTGAAAAGGCGTGGGAGCGGGCTGTAGTATATTACCGCCACGTCTACCGGGGACAAGCAGCTATAAAGATCCTATAGGAGTTGTGATGCGGAGGAATAGAATGGCTGTCAAGTCGAGAGGCGTTGAACTGGGCTGTGGTTATTCCCGCCACGTCTGAATCATGTAGCTCAGAAAGCAATGGGCTATCCGGTTTGGCAACACACGGGAGTGAGGAACGAGCGCCGGCGTAGATGCGATGCCATGGCGAGGCGAGGCCGAACTACACTACTGCGGAAGCTCATGGACGGTACGAGACGAACACTGGCAGGCGCTCAAGGTCGCGCTCGAACCTGACTTGGAAAGTTTCAATTTTTCTTTTGCAATGCTAGAATGCTAAGCCCCGTGCCATCATCTAGCATACCAGTTACGTACATCGTTTCCGATCTCCTACTTCAGCGCAGTCGACGGCATTGAGGTCAACGTTGCCAAAGTGGTCAGGCACTCCGCCTCGGCCCTCTACCATGGCATGATCCGCTTGCATTGCGTCTACATTTGGATGACAAGACGCCGCCGCAAACACACGCCTCTGCTTGCAGGCTGGACCTGGACGAGGGCTCACTTCTTCCGTTCCTTCCTTGGCCCGTCTCAAATAGATCGAAAGCCGCCAAAGCATGCTTTGGAACATAGATGGACAGCCTGTCGATCGCCTCCCCTTCTGGTCTGCTCACATCTAGACACTCTCCAACGGCGCGGGCTCCTTGAACTCCCTCTCGACCTTGCGGCCCTGATCATCCTCGCCACTCTCGCCGTGTAGGCCCAACAGCGCGCCGAGGTCGAACTTGGGGGCCTTCAACAGCTTGACCTTTCGAATATGCACGTTCTGCAGCGGGTAGATGCCCTGCGTGGACTTCTCGATCTCCCGGCCGATGACCTCGGGGATCAACTTGCCGGTCAACTGGGCGAGCGTGACGGACGTGGCTTCGCGTTGGATGATCTCGGTCATCTTCTTGCGGATGGCCCGGATCTGGGACGAAGCGGCGTAGGTGGTCTTCTTGATCTGGTTGGGCCGTCGCTTGGTGAAGGCAATGGCAAACAACCGCAGCAGGTAGTCGTCCGTCGTCTTGACCGTGACGTTGGCCTCAATCAGCGTCTGCCACTTCCGCACCAGCGACCGCAGCTTGTCGGATGTGAAGTCCAGGCCGTGGAAGTTGGTCAGGCAGTTCTTGCCCTGCACCTCGTCGACTCGGAGTTTGACCTTGCGGAAGGCGTGGTCTTCGTCGTTCTGCAGGTCCGCGAGCGACACCTCGAAGATGCGGCCCTTGAGGGCGTCGTTGGCCGATTTCAGACCGGTCGTGCGGTTGACGAGGGTTTTGCCTACACTGTTGCCCAGAAATATCATGTCAATGGCTTGGTTCTCTCTTCGACGGATGTGGCTTCGAATCCTCTCTCTCTCTCTCTCTCTTCGTGTGGGTCAAAAAATTCATGGGGGAGATGCCAGGATCACGTACTCTCGCTGGTTGAAGGTCGAAGGCGCCTTGATCGAATACCAATCTTTGCGGGTGAAGGGGTCTTGAGTTCTCTTCCTGCCATGATCGTTAGCACGGGGAGGAAACGGCTTCACACGACCGCGGCACTGACTTGAGGCCTTTCTTGCCTTTAGAAAGGCGCTTGTTCTTGCCAACAGCCATGATTGCGACGGGTCGTCAAGTCGCACGATGGTTGTTGTTGAAGGGTTGCGAGGAAGAGAATGGGCAGGTGGATTCTTTGGGTTGGCCAAATGAAGTCGCAGTGAAAATCATCAGTTCGTGGGACCACGTGATCAGGCTGCCAAGATTTCACCACCCCGCTTAGTCACCATTGCCTGCGCTTGTGGTGCTTGCCTTCTGGGTGTGGTTCAGTTCCTCTGGATGGCCATTCTCAGCTTACCTTCTCAACTACAGGGAGAATAGTGGTTGTTCTATGAGCATGATTTGAGCTACGCTCATCTATTGTCTCGCACGCGCAGCCCGCAGTCCGTTCTCGTGCCTTGCTAGGTACTCCCTGCTTTCATGGTGTGCTCCCACTTCAATGCAAGTGCATATTCTAACATGCCCTCATGTCTCATCATGCCACATGAATCTCCTTGCTATCTGACACGTTCAGACCTTCAAGCTGTCCTTCATCTTGTCGGCGACATTGTCCGCGGCCGGCATCTCACGTTTTGGTCCACCAGTAGGGGCACCTCCGTCAGGCTTGGGCTTGGCTGGTTGCTTAGCCTTCGCCGTCACTGTATCCTTGGGTAACTCCTTCGTGTATGGAATGATGTCCGGCGTGCCCGGCGGCATGTACCGTCTCAACACTTCAGGCACCTCGAAGCCGTCTTCTTTCTGGTAGTTTTCCAGCAGGCAACACAGCGTCCGTTCGGTAGCGCATAACGTCCCATTCAGAGCATGCACGTACGACTTTCTAGAATCAATGGCGCCTTTCTTCTGTCCGTACCGAATCTCGAGTTCTCGAGTCTGGTAGTCTGTGCAATTAGAGCATGAGACCAGTTCCTTGTATTCGCCCTGATACGGGAACCACGCCTCCAGGTCGTACTTCTTGGCTGCCGCGTTGTTGAGAGCTCCGGAAACGATGGCGACGACTCGGTAAGGCAGTTTCAGGGACTGGTAGAATTCTTCGGCAATGGACTTCATGTCTTCAAGGGCCTGCCAGGAGTCTTCGGGCTTGGTGAAGAGGAACTGCTCGATCTGATCCCAATCGTTAGCAGCGGCACGACGACGTATGGTACAAATGCATCACCTTCTCGAACTGGTGTATCCGGTAAAGGCCCCAGGCGTCTCGCCCATGCGCACCGGCTTCCTTCCGGAAACACGACGAGTAGCCGGCAAATTTCATGGGCAAGCCCTGCGCGGTCAACCACTCCTCGGCAAACATGGCCGAGATGGGCTGCTCGCTTGTGGCGATGAGAAATTTATCCTCTGCATCCTTGTCCTCGATGACCTTGTACAGCTCCTCGTCGAACTGCTCCAGCTGTGCCGTCTTGGCCATATATTCGGCCTTCATGAAATATGGCGGTTGAAGAGGATCGTAACCGTGCGCGACGAGGAAGTGCAGTCCGTAGTTGATGAGCGCCTGGTTGAGCAGCACGCCCCATTTCTTCAGAAAATACCCTCGATGGCCGACCAGTTTGACGCCTCGTTCGCCGTCGTAGATCTCTGCACGGGTCATGACTTCGTGGTGAGAGAGGCAGTCGCGTTTCTCTTCCGTGAAGCCCTCGGGCGCCCATTTCTTCACGACCTCGTTGAAGTCCTAGCCTATTGCGTGAGGATTGGCCCTGAGTTATGGACACGTGGGACTTCTGCTGACCTCGTTGTCATTTACTGGCACTGACTCGTGCACGTAGTTGCCGATCATCTTGCATTTGCGGTCTCTCAGCTTCTCCTTCTCTGTGGCTTCGTCTTCGGTCTGCTTCTTCTCTTTCTCCAGTTCCACTTTTTGTTTCAGGAGGTGGTCTGCATCTTGTTTTGCCTAGAAGTATGTCTCCGTCAGTCATGGACCGCGGGGTGTGGGAAAGGGGTGCTTCGCCGACCTTCTTCAGCTGGCCAATCTCTTTCTGTACTGCATTGATCTTTGCGCCCACTTGGCTGGCTTTGTACCGCGCTGCACGACGACTCAGTGGGAACACATTGGCAGACGGTGAGGCGACGGACTCTGATACGCATCTTGCCACAGTGCAATGACTTGGTCAACAACGTCGGTCGAGGTGTATCTCTTCTGTAGGCTGTCTTTCACCTTCTGCGGGTCCCCGCCTCTGCGCGACCGATGAGCCAACGAAAATACAGCAGCTGCAGGCTCGACTTACCTCTCGGCAATGAGGTCTTGTACTTCTATCATTGTGGCACAGGGGCGTCGGAGGGAAGTCGAGAAACGAGAGGCAGCGAATCTAGGTGAACGGTGGAATAATGAGTGTCCGGTCAACGGCACGTGTGGTGCAGGTGAAACTGGCGAGACACCGCACAATATTCCTGCCCCTTCACCCCGCAGAGGTTCGGAGCCTCGTGAGTCACTCCGAATCGCTTGACGCCAGCGATATCATCGCCCATCACAATAGCACAACCACTTTCTTCCCTCCTCTATTTACTGTATACAGGGGCAGAACGCCGCCCACATTAAGCTGCTGCCATACACTAAGCAGTACACTTGTTCATGACCAACTGGACGCCAGCAACAGAAAACGCCCAACCCAAGATCCGTCGTAAACACCAACGCCGCTTGAGTCTATCCTGACAGGGAGTACCAATCACTGGTTGAACCAAGATATGCAACGCCATCTTCACCAGATCAGATCACCGGAACCCTTCCGACGGGTTAGCCGAGGAGGGAGGCGTCGCCAAAGGACACAGCCCGATCGTCCGTAGGCCTCGACTCGCTTCCAAACATTCTTGAGAGTGCGTCCGGCCGCTCTTCACATCACCATGCACTTTCCTCCCCCAGCAGGCTTGTCAGGCTCTTGCGATTTCTCGATCTCGGCGATCATCAGCTCGAATGCTTTCGCGACGTTGGTATTGTTTCGTGCGCTGGTTTCAATCCAACCGCAGTTGAGTTCTTGCCCCAGCTTCTGACCTTCCTCGGCGGATATTTTCCGTTGTTTCTTTGCGTCAACGTCATTCTTGTTGCCCACGATCATGATGGGGACAGAGTCGGCGCCCTGCATTGACCGGTCAGCGCAAGTAGGGAACCACGGTGGCGGCGCATACCAGATGGTTCAGTAGTTTGTCTCGAATGATCCTCACCATCTCGAACGACTGCCTCGAGGCGACCGAATAGACGATGAGGTAGCCATGGATGCCGATGTATAATTTCGAATTCAATAGACTATATTCATCCTGCACTCCTGCTGTCAGCTGGTACTGGCGCCACCCGCCTGTCCTTGAGTGATTCGAACCTGGCCTGCGGTGTCGATGATTTCCGTCAGGAAGGTCTGGCCTTTGTAGACGATCTCGTGGCTGAACGTGTTCTCTATCGTGGGATAATAGCTTTCGACGAAGTGGCCCTCGCAATACTGCACGGTCAAAGAGGATTTGCCTATGCTCCGGTAAACGATGTCAGTCCTTGGTCCCTCTGTTTGTCTTGGCATGTGCCGTGTATCACCGTCGCTGGAAATGGGGCGCTCACCGACAGATCGACTGCCCAGGATGGCAATCTTTCTCTGCTTAACCGAAGGAGCCATGCTGGGGACAGTGGTCGTCGAAGGTCGAAGGTGGAGGTTGCCAGGCACCGAAATGCGGCTCTAGATCCTAGTCCCAGAAAAATGGTTCGGGATTCCGTCTCCGAGCGCAAAGCCTCTGGCAAGGAAAAGGAAAGCAAGAAATGAGCTTCGTGAGAACTTTGAAGCGACAGAGTCAGGCCCTAAGACGGTCGAATGACGGTCGGGAACCAGATCGAGGAACTCAGTATGTAATAAGAACTCAAGAATGACGGCTTCCTGCGGAGTTACAAGTACAAAGTGTTACGAGATGCACGAATCTTTGTAGTTTTGAGATATTTTTGTTCGAGGCACATGTGAACGGGGCCGTCCTCGTGCTGGTCTCATTAGATGAGATCCAAGAGGAGATTCAGCCAGGCAGGAACCGGTGATGGTCAATCTCACCGACTCTTTGCGACGGAAAGCGCAATGGCATCTTGGTGATGATCGGAAGGAATTCAGGCCAGGCAAGACAAGCTCGAGAATTGTTTGGCGGGGATTGTCGCGACCTCGAGTCGTGGCCCGGATGATCTTGCGGGCCCCGCAGCCAATCGTCATTCCTTCCGCACATGATCTAGAAGCCGCCTACGCTGGGATGGTCGAGGATGGTGTCCGGGGATGCACGACGTGGCATCCAGCAGAGTCCCATAACCCCCAAAAGCAGTTACACCGGGGCTTGCCCGCGACAACTGGCGTCTTCAGACCAGTTCATTGCGGTCTCAGCGAGAGTTGTCCCGAAGAATCTGCCATGTGCCGAATGGACTATGCATTGACGTTTCCAACGCTACCCATTTACCCAATGTCTATCTTCATGAGGCGTTATTCTCCTTCGGAACGGAGGATATCATACATCTTGCTTTTTGACAGCTTCGAGCACCGTTGTGAACCGCGCGGTAAATCCTACTGACGAACCTTCCCCTTCCTCGAGGGCCGCTTCAACTGTTTGTAGATGCTGTAGGAATGTGTCCGCAGCGCCGAACAGCTGTGAGAGTCCCTCTCCCTTGATATGTTTAGATATCCTTCGGCAGGCGGCGGGGTTGAGGCACAGTGTGCATAGCAATGCGGAAATGTACCCAAAGGCGACAAGTATCTGCGTTTGGTCCATGGTCAGCGCCTGTCGCTGTTAGCATTGAGCCTTCGGACTTCGTGACAGTAAGCCCTACCTCGGTCGCATGATCGACATGGCGATTAAATATGTCGATAAGTCTGTGGACAAGGCTCTTTCCACCCGAGTCCCGAATCAGCATCTTCTCCCTGGCCGCATCGGCGCATTCGGCGAGATTGAGGAGGCAGCCGACGGCGAGAATAACGGATTCAAGTCTGGCATTGTCGAACTCCTTCTCAAGGGCTGCGAGCCCTGCGAGTGTCAAGAACTGTTCATCAACCACTTGGAAAACGGCGTCGATAAGGTCACCCTTGCTTAAAGCCTCACAGACTTCTGCCTCGTTATTGCTCAGACTGACGATCAGTCGAAGGCACGAGTGCTCCACCTCGGGATGAGAGTGACGAGCTTCTCTCATGGTGCTCGCTACGGCTTGTCCCAGTTCGTGGAGACGGGACGGCGGAAAGCGAGAACCAGCCAGTTCGCTGTTTGCGCAAGCAATTTCCAGAAAGGCAAGCAACAGTCGGATGGTCTCAATTTGCCGGGATGTTGCACCTGCAGCAATTTCCCCTCGCGGCTTTGTGAACTGGGACAGCACCTCAGCCACCAATTTTCGTGGCAGTCTTGGTAGCGGCTCTTTGAGGCTGATGAGTTTGCGCTGGGCAGATTCGATAGCACCAAGCAAGATTCTGTCCATGTCCAGGGAGGGTTGTCCTAGAACCGTAACCCGTCTTTTCTCAAAGTCGGCGATATCGTTGGCCAACAGCTTGGAGAGGTTCTGACTTCGGTCTCTCGCAAGTCTGGACACTGAACGCGTCTCCGAGAGAAAGCGTGGAGGTAGCCTGTAGAGCGCATCCAATACCTGTAACAAAACCCTCGGGGATGAGCTTTCTGTCGATATCACAGACTGGAAAATTAATGCCACAAATAAGGCGCTGACTTCATCCAGGCCGTCGTTCACGCAATCTATCAAGCGTTGAAAGTTGCCCGAGTCTTGGAAATGTCGCAGGAACATCTGTTCGTGTAATTTATCGGCAAGCTGCAGTAGCCCTGTGACTCGAAGCGACTTCGTTGTTGATTCAATGTCTTCGAGAATGGTCTGAAGCTCTAGGTCGAATTTCCTGACTGCTCCACCGCGACGCAACTCGTGAATGCTCTTGATCCGACTGCCGGTGTCAGCTTCGTCGCTGTCATCTAGGTCCATCTCTATCGGCGCTATCCCGCTTGTGAAGGACAAGGCCTGCGAATAACTCTGCTGGGAGGATGCCTGGCTGGCAGAAGCGGGTAGGTCGCTGTCCACGCTATCGACCATATCGCTCAGGTACGACCTTTGCTTCGCGTAAGTGGCTCGTAATCGTCCTGAAGGGGCAACTATTTGACTGGATGTATGCTTCTCAAGCGTTGGGCGGGTTGGATTCTTGGACGGTGCATTGTTAACGGCAGGCTCCTTGAGATGTTGTGATACTTCCTTCTGAAGGGCCGGGTTCGACAAATTCCCGGCACTCTGCGTCCGAGGAGCATCCAGCCGATCGATCAGTCTTGCGCGACCTCTTGATGCAGCCGCAATGGGAGCATCCTTCATCTCTTCATCTTCTGACGAAAAATGCGATCTCTGTGAACCAGAACCAGGGGTCAAGCGCAGCGCGGTCAGATGAAGATCACTAGGAGTGGGCGAGGCGATGCCTTCATCTGAAACAACTCTCTTTCTCTTCGGAGTGCTTCGTCCAGACATACCCGAGTGATCGGAAGCATCCGACATGTCTGCAGAGGAGCCGCTGCTGGCCTGAAGCTCTCTGGAGAGGAATGTTTTAGAAGCAGCAACACTGCTCGAAGACGCTGTTTTGCTGGAGGGTGCACGTCTTGTGATGCTCTTTACGCCAGCCTTTCCAGATCTTCTGGCCGTAGGCGGTGGCTTGTCTGACTTCGAACCTCCGACCATCCTTCTAGCATTCGTTGACTTATGTTGCAGCGTCTTCGGTTTGTCATTTTCCACCAAGTCCTGTGCACCTTTGACCTTGTGAACTGCGACTCTCGTGTCACTTGTCGCACTTGCAAATCCATCATCTCGGGTTGAACCGACGGTGACGATCTTTCTCTTCTTCGAGTGTCGGTTCGATTTGAGCTTGCCCGAGTCGTCCTCCGAAGACTGGATGTCGAACATAGCAGAGGTATTACCCGGGCGCGTGATTGACGGTCTGGTTGCCATGGCGTCCTCCTCTGTCCCGCCCGTCTCATGTACCGTCCTAGCTCTTCCATGGATTCCATCGTCATCCTGAGCTGTATAGGTGGCTTGGCTGGGTGCAACTGGCGTGGGCGCATGGTGCTCGATTGATTTTGTTGACTCGAACAACGGTTGCGCGCCGACGTCGAAAAGGTCATGCACTCGAACCTTCCGTGCGCCTTTCCCATATGTGTTCACCTTCCGGCGAGCCACCGGAAATTCCATCATTTTCGCTTTAGGGCGGTTTGCAAGGGCTGTCGACTCTTTCAGACTTGTTTCTTGTCGGTGGGTGGAACGCTCGCTCGTCTGTCGGTGTGGGTTTCTCGAGGAGCGCACAAGAATAAGGACGACGCATTCATTTTTATCACATGGCTGTGAGTGTCGGGCTGGCTGAGCAGAAGGACAATGAGGTCAAAGTCGACCAATTCCACTGGAAGTGAGTAGTCGTAGAAAGACACCGGCTGCGCTTCGAAAGTTTGGGAAAGTCGGGCACTGGTGTTTTATTGATCTTGACATGCGGGGTGATGTCAAGCATAAACAAAGCTGTCTCCAACCAATTAGTTAGACGCTGAAACACGAGGCACATGCCTGGACCGGGCCTCACAGGTCTTTCATTTAAGCTCCCGGGCGCGCCCTTGCCTACCGATCTTAACCACGAATTGATTTTTGGCGCCTTCCCCAGGAGAGGCGCGCACCCACACACCCACCACAGCTCAGCTTCACTCCATTGTTTGATCAGTGAGCCACGAAGATCGCAGTGGTCTAGAGAGATGCTCTTCAGCAAACCCTCTATGGCGTCGTTGACCTCGTAACCTCGTTCCACTTCTCTACATACCATCATTCCCGAGGCTACCACGGGCCGCGCCCCTCGTCGTCTTCAAGACATCTTGCAAGACCTGAGGGCAACCTGCGGACAACCCTTCAAAGGTCACGCGAGCAGTCACCCGCGGATTTTCCCACAAAACGCTGCGTTCGAGAGCCGGAGCCAGGAGATGGCTTCAATCCCTCGCACCAACGGTGTTCAGTCACCCGCCTTGGGCGTTGGGCCTTCTTATCGTCCTGAAGAAGAGAAGCCCACAGCCACCGTCTCAAAAAGCGTGCCGCAGGAAAACGTCCACGTTCTCCCACAGACCCCTCAGCTCATTGCTCTCCTGACGTAGGTCTCACACAGCAGGGACACGTTGAAAGTTGACTGACATGTCTGCTCAAGCATGATCCGAGACAAAGACACGCAACGAGCCGACTTCATCTTCTACTCGAATCGAATCATTCGCCTGTTGGTCGAGGAAGGGCTCAATCACCTACCAGTGGTCGCCCACACAGTCACGTCCCCGGTCGGCAAGGACTATGTGGGTGTCAAGTTTGAAGGCAAGATCTGTGGCGTGTCAATCATGCGAGCGGGCGAGTCGATGGAGCAGGGTCTAAGAGAATGCTGTCGTTCCGTGAGGATAGGCAAGATTCTTATCCAGCGCAACGAAGAGACCAGCAAGCCGAAGCTTTTCTATGAGAAGCTGCCTCCTGATATCCGCAACCGGTGGGTGCTGCTTCTGGACCCCATGCTGGCAACGGGTGGTAGTGCCATCATGGCGGTCGAGGTGTTGAAGGGCAAGGGCGTTCCCGAAGAACATATCCTCTTCTTGAACTTGATTGCCAGCCCCGAAGGCATTGAGAATTTTGCCAAGAAGGTGCCCAAGGTGAGAGTCATCACGGCGTTTGTGGATCAAGGCCTCAACGACCAGAAGTGAGTAGATCCCGTCCCTGGTCGAGACCCCCCATGCTTACTTTTGCAGCTATATTGTCCCTGGCTTAGGTGATTTTGGCGACCGATATTTCACATTGTGATCAGCTGCTCTGAGCTGCTCTGAGCTGCTCTTGTGGCATCAAAAGAATGATCTTTCCAGCCTGTTGATCTCAGCAACGAAATGATAGTTCGAGAAGGATGTGACGAAGTTGGGTTACTCCCCTTTGATGAAGCCATGAGGTACCTGTGGTGACGAGCCCGAGACGAAAACAACAGATCCCGGGGCTCCCAGGGACCGGGGAAGCTAGTAGGTTTTCCATGAGATGTCGGGCTCAATTTTGGTGCCACAGTATATCAGTCGTATGAACGAGCGACTCTCAACATCGGAGTGGACTGGACAGGGCTCGATCACGACGAGAGGAAACTCCCTTGTGGGGGACACATACAGATTTTACCCAGTCGTTACGGAGGAATTCTAGTTCCAAGCTTTTGCTTTTCCTCCCTGTCACTGTTGAACCTTTGAGCATTCCTGAAGTCACCGGCCCAACCAGCCCCTTTGCTCCGTCCCATGCCGTGCTCCGGGGAAACGTCCAATCCAGCTGTTGAAAGCTGTCTCGTGTCATTCCATCATCGGGAGAGGTCTATGTCACAAATACACCCACACTGCTTTTTTGTTTTCTCGCCCGTCCGTGTTTTCAACTTAACTTTTCAATGAAAGTCTAGTCGACCCGCAGAAGCCATCAACCAGACCAGACCAGAGCTGATCAGTTCAGATCAGATCAGCCCAGACCCCTTCCCGATCTTTTCTGTCTTCCTCCATTTGAACACCGCCAACACCATGGTTCGCACCGCTCTCCTCCTCATCTATCCTCTAATACAGAATCCTCGTCAGAATCCGCTCCTTGACCCTCTCCAACTCGCCGTACAACTCGGCGACCTCCTCCTCCCGGACGTTGCTGATATCTGCCATCAAGTACGCCACCTCCCCCCGACTATCCGTCATCTGCTTGTCGACGTTGTGATCGCCTAGGATCTGATTCACCCGCTTCAACACACCCGGCACGTTCTGATGGATGAAGATGACGCGCGCGTGGTTGGGCTCGTCCATGGTCAGCGACCGGAGGGTCACTTCCGGCATGTTGACCGCGCCTGTGGTGACGCCCTCGTTGACGTAGCGGACGAGCGATTCCGCGACCTCGACCCCGATCGCGGACTGTGCCTCTTCCGTGGACCCGCCGATGTGGGGCGTCAGGATCAGGTTCTTGAGCGAGCGCAGGTCCTCGGCCCACGGGTTGAGGTTGTTGTTGAAGTAATCGCCATTGCCGGCCGGTTCGGCGGGGTAGACGTCCAAGGCCGCGCCGGCGATGTGGCCTGCGCGCATGGCGTCGATGAGGGCGGGGATGTCGACGACGCTGCCTCTCGACGCGTTGATCAGGTAGGAGCCGGATTTCATCGTCTCGAGCTCGTGCGCCCCGATCATGTCCATCGTCTCGGGCAGTTCGGGGACGTGGCACGTCACGAAATCGGCGTTTTTGAGGAGCGCTTCTAGTGTGGGCACTTGGCGCGCCGTGCCCATTGCCATGAGGTTGACCACGTCGTAGTAGATCACATCCATGCCCATCGCTTCGGCGAGCACGGACAGCTGTGATCCGATGTGTCCATACCCGATTATCCCGAGGGTCTTGCCGCGAATTTCCCAGCATTTGTTGGACACTTTGTTCCACGTGCCAGCGTGCAGCTCGCTACTTCTGTCACCTAGCTGTCGTGCGAGGGCGATGACCTCGCAGATCACCAATTCAGCGACCGAGCGAGAGTTTGAAAAGGGCGAATTGAAGACGCAGATTCCATGCGAGGCGGCATATTTCAGGTCCACTTGGTTGGTGCCAATGCAGAAGCAGCCGATCACGATGAGGTTCTTTGCGTGGCTGAGCACTCGGGAGGTGAGTTTTGTTTTGGACCGGATTCCTATGACATGGACATCTCTAAATGCCACAAATGATGGTTAGAATCGACTCTCTCTCATGGAGTGGGTACACGCGGTAAGGACACCGGATGGAACCTGGGGTCAGAAGGAAGGCAACGGAAATATCCACACAGCTTGCGCTTTCAGAACAGGTCTGTGAATTTACATCCGGATATCTCATCATATCGGTCGGCAGGAGGCGGAGCGAAGAACGCCGATGGACTGTAACATACTTGATCTTCTCAATCAGCTGATCCTCCGGCAGAGAACTTTTCATGAATTCCACTTGATAGCCCTGGCCCTTGAGTATATCCCGCCCGGTTTGATTGACGTTTTCCAGCAACAAAATCTTGACATCCTGTTCTCGGAAAGGTTTGAGGAGTTTTGGTTGAGGGCCGGTTGCCACTCTTCTCAAATTCGGCGAGGTGCCGTAGCTCTGGCCGTCCGTAACGCCGAACGAGACTTTCCGGTGGTGGTCGGGAGAGGTTGACATGGAGAGGCTGCGCGAGACTTCTCGGCGCTGTTGATCGCCGTTGGCGCCATTGTTGGGTATGCGAATGCTTTCTGTGAGGTTTGAAGTAGGCATGATATACGGCAGGAAAAGCGGTGGTCCCTTGGAGAGGTGTAGCTGAGCAGGTGGAATAGCATAATGACTCCTCGCAAGACTGCGGGACAAAATTTAAGATCAAGATGACGTCTTTACAGCCTTGTCCGCGACTCAGTGCATTCTATTGGCTCGTCTCCGTCGCAATGCAATGCACGAGGCTGAGGTGGGGGAGGTAGTTCATGTCTAGCACCACTCGCACCACTCGGCGGCAAGCCAGGCTGAACAGCCTCTTCCTTTTCATTCGTTCTCTGAGGGTTGCACGATCTGCTCGTGGAGAGTAGCTAAATAGGTGCACTTAAACCGCGTTCGCGGCATCTAATCCTGCCATCCTTGCAACTCGTACCCGGATGGCATCAGAACAAGGTGCTATGCCTGTCTGACAGTGCCAGGTTCATACGGATGGGCTAGAAGGTTTCGTTCTCAACTCAGCGTTCAATGTTGGGATTTCTCCTTCATGCCAGCTATACCACAGGTCACCGGCGCGTTGTCGCCGTTAGACTTCCATCTCGTGGTCTCCGTGCGACTGCTCCGCTTGCTGCTGCTTGAGCTCTTCCATCTCCTCAATCTCTTCTTTTGGCACTTCCTTCCTGTTCATCCAGCTCAATATCCGCCATATGGCAACGAGGAGTTCTTTTCGTTGCTCGACCTCAAACAGATCATACCATGGGCTTCGACTCACATAGAGCACATGGTCCTGTCGCGAGCTTGACTTCCCGAGTGTGCCGTTTCGGTTCACACTGCCAGGTTTTCCGGTCTCCAGCCATTCGAGGTAGTTGTCGTGGACGCTCATCCTCAGGATGCAGGCGTGGTGATTGGCACCCGAAAGCATGTAGACGTCGTCCCAGCCAACGTTTGCTTCACCTTCGCCGACCTTGCCAACTGTTCGATAGATGATCTTTTCGTCCCAACAAGGT